TAGTCAGCAAAAACAGGCATCAAGGCTTTTGTCTTCAGTTCAATTTATCCTAAGATTTGCAGACCTAGTGTGAGGGTGGAAAGTCTACAAAAAAGAGAGTCTTGACTGAAAGGAATCAGTGCTGTGACCTATACAATTTTATGATGGAGCATGTAGGGTGTGTGGGTTCTTCTCCAATTTCTTGAATCCCATGTCACAGGCTATCTCCCTACTTTCTGGCAAACAGTGAATGAGACAGAGCACAGGGCATGGGAGTGACACACAGCAACCTATAAACACATAAACCTGTTTCAATCACCAGGTTTTTTTTTAACTTTTATTTAATGAATATAAATTTCCAAAGTACAGCTTATGGATTACAATGGCTCCCCCCACCCCAATAACTTCCCTCCCACTCGCAACCCTCCCCTTTCCTGCTCCCTCTCCCCTTCCACTCACATCAAGATTCATTTTCAAGTCTCTTTATATACAGAAGATCAGTTTAGTATATATTAAGTAAAGATTTTAACAGTTTACACCCACATAGAAACACAAAGTGAAAAATACTGTTTGAGTACTAGTTATAGCATTAAATCACAATGTACAGCACATTAAGGACAGAGATCCTACATGAGGAGTAAGTGCACGGTGACTCCTGTTGTTGACTTAACAAATTGACACTCCTGTTTATGGCATCAGTAATCTCCCTATACTCCAGTCATGAGTTGCCAAGGCTATGGAAGCCTTTCAAGTTCGCCAACTCTTATATTTAGACAAGGTCATAGTCAAAGTGGAAGTTTTCTCCTCCCTTCAGAGAAAGGTACCTCCTTCTTTGATGACCTGTTCTTTCCACTTGCAGAGATCTTTCATTTAGGTCATTTTTTTTTTTTTTTGGACAGAGAATCCCCAGGTTTTGATATTTTTTTGAGAAAGAAAAAAATTTTTTGGATTCCATTAGTGATTTAATTAGAAACCCACATTCTAAAGAACAAAATGGGTGCTCAGTTTCAGCACCCATACCCAGTAGAATTTTTTTTAATTTAAATTTGAGGCAGAGAGACAAAGAGATGGAGACAAGAGAGTAAGAGACACAGCTTCCAATCACTGGTTCACTCCCCCAAATGCCTGCAATAGCACGGGCTGGGCCAGGCCAAAGCCAGGAACCAGGAACAGGAATTTCAATCTAGATCCCTCTCATGGAGGGGCAGGAACTCAATTCCTTGAGCTACCACTAGTTCCTCCCAGAGGTGGGAGGGAAGGATGGAGGGGAAGAGGGAGAAAGAGAGAGAGTGGAATTTCCCACACACCGATTCAATCTCCAAATGTCCACAACATAACAGTTGGTGCCAGGATCTTGGCCAGGCCAAAACCTAGAGCCAAGAACGCAGTCTGAGTCTCCTATGTGAGTGGCAGGAGCCCAGTCACTTGAGCCATCACCTGATGCCTCTCAGGGTACACATTAGCAGGAAAATGAAAATAGTAGAAGAGCCAGGACTCAAATCCAGGCACTCTGATATGGGATGCAGGCATCCCAAGTGGCATCTTCATCACTACACCAAACACTTGCCCCTCACCCCTTCTTTTAAAACCAAAACGAAAATAAAATGACATTGAGGCCATCATTGCTGATGGCTGTGTGCTTAAAAGAGACATTTTACAACTGTTAACAACAGGAGTCACTGTGCACTTACTACCCATGTAGGATCTCTGTCCCCTAATGTGTTGTTCTATGAGAATAAATGGTAAAAATAGGCTTCAAATAGTTCTTTATACTTTGTGTGTCTGTGTGGATGCAAACTGTTGAAGTCTTTACTTAGTATATACTAAGTTGATCTTCTGTATTATAAAGATAATAAAAAATGAGTCTTAATGAAGAATGAGATGGGAGAGGGAGTAGGAGATGGGATGGTTTGCAGGTGGGAGGGTGGTTATGGGGGAAAAAACCACTATAATCCAAAAGTTATACTTTCAAAATTTATATTTATTAAATAAAAGTTTTCAAAAAAAAAAAGACATTTTAGAACTCCCCAACTCCTCACCTTCAGAGATGTTCGTAACAAACTGCCCACACCACCTTCTCTACATGAGCTCTTCTAGTTGACTTCCAATTGCCAGACCTTGTATTTCCTTGTCTGAGGGCTGTTTGTATCCTCTAATACACACTTTACCATTCTTTTACCGAACTAGACCTCTTGGGAAATTTATCCCTCCCACAGTAACGCTTAACAAAAGGCAGGAAGGAGTTGGGATGTACCTTCTCCCAGTTCTGTCATCCTGCTAGGATACCTTCACGGTGTGTGACTGATACCAGTCCCAGAGTTTATCCAGGAGAGTTAAACTCCAGGTCCCTCAGGGCTACTGGCTGGAACACACCTGGCTGTTGGCTGCCTTCCCTTCCTGTATCACTTCCCCACACTCCTACTTGCATCTGCTGTATCCGCTGAATAAACGACTTGTGCTGCAAATCTTGTCTTGGGGTCTGCTTAGGGTTGACCCACGTGAAGACAGTTTTATAAAGAGAACAGAGGTTTGCTTTTTCAAATGACATCTCTTTCCTGCAAAGGTTTCTGGAGTAGAGTTCATCTCCCTGCATCTACCTCACCCTAAATCATGGAAAACGCTGGAGAGAATCCCACAAACTTCTCTCTCATTCTTCTATGCCTTTTTCCTAAAAGTTAGTACTAAAGCACAGGTCCCTCACTGGTACCAGATGTCAGTGCTTCTTACGCTGCTTCTCTGGATTCCTCCACTGTTGCTTCTTGCTCAAGTCAGATCTGTGGTTCAAGACTCAGCTTAACGGGGACCTGGCCCCTCAGTCTCTTTCTGTGTCTGGGTAGTCAGCCCTGTCCACACTCTGCCTGTGCTGGCTGTTGTGTGGGAACTTGTCCTTACCCCATCATCCCCAGTCACATCCTCATACGAAGCTATGTGGGCTGTTCTCACAGAACCAAGTACTGGGGCTTACCGTAAGGCATCCAGGTCTCCGGAATTAAACGCCAAAATGAAACAGCGGGCAGACCCTTTTCTCAGAGCATATGTGGAACAGTCTAGCATGGAGGTGACAGCTGCTTGGCTGCTTCAAATGTGCCTCATTTGGAGGCAGGGGTGGGGTTGCTCTAAACACTGGCATGTTCCCTTCCGGAGCCAGGATCACTTTTGCCCTCTGTAAGCTGGTCACACTGCATTGCTTTTCAGGCCACTTAACATACCATAATCACTAACATCTCACGCCCTAGTGGGTGTAATGCAAGAACTTCAAATGCAAACTCTCTCATTTTCCACTGGTGACCTCTGTCTGAGTTGCTAATGTTCATAATGACCAGGTCTGGGATGGAAAAAACAAAGCCTGAATTGTGCCTTGCTTCATGTTCTTTCCAGGGAAGAACAAACAGCTGCAGATTCAGTACAAATTGGGCTACTTTTGTGCAGTCTCATTTTCTAATTTGCTTCACAAAGCTTAATGTACACTTCATTTCCTGCTAAATTACTATGGTGCTTTGGTTTGGGGAAAGCCTGCCATTTCATACCTTAAACTGTAGCACTGTGTATACTTAAGTTCATGAACAACTTGATTCCCTTATACAAATTACCCTGGAATCACACATTAAAGGGAACTGTACAAGGTCATTTCAAAAAGTTCATGGAAAAATGGAATTAAAAGATGTAAAGGAAAAATGGAATTAAAAGCAAAAAGTTCTGAAATCCATGCATTGTTTTTCATAATACATATTTTATGTGATCCTCCATATGCAGAGTTTTCAATTTGGTTGCACCAAAATAAGCCGATCTTTTAATTCTACTTTTCCATTAATTTGTTGAAGTTTCCTTGTATATACTAAGTAAAAAAACACTTGCAGGGGCCAGCGCTGTGGCACAGTAGGTTAACCTCTGCCTGCAGCGCTTGCATCAGATATGGGTGCCGGTTCTAGTCCTGGCTATTCCTCTTCTGATCCAGCAATCTTCCATGGCCTGGGAAAGCAGTGGAAGATGGCTCAAATCCTTGGGCCCCTGTGCCCATGTAGGAGAACTGGAGGAATCTACTGGCTCCTGGCTCCTGGCTTTGGATTGGCGCAGCTCCAGCCATTGCGGCCATACAGGGAGTGAACCAACGGAAGGAAGACCTTTCTCTCTGTCTCTCCCTCTCACTGTCTGTAACTCTGCCTCTCAAACAAATAAATAAAATCTTTTTTTAAAAAAAACCACTTGCAGAAAGAGAAATTCTTGTTGAAGAACAAGAAGGAGTTTAGTAAATGATTTATGGTCAAGGAGGATATATATAATACTAACTTCATTACCAGTATGGGACAAGTGTCATCCAATCAGAGTGGATGCCATCCCAATTAGAATGGAAGCCCACTTTAAATAATTAGTGTGGCTATTTTCCTGCATATCAGCTGAATATTATCCCATGGGGAACATCATTCTTTGATGACACCTCAGATGATCTGTTTCATCTGCAAATAACCACATGGAATTGGCCTTCAAATACCCATCTGATAATTTTATAAATAAATAATAATGGATGCTAAATAATAATGAATGCTCAATAAATAATAATAAATGCTAAATCTATGCATGAGGGGAAATTACCAATAAGGGAATTTAGAAATGCCCCAGAAGTCATGACTGCTGGTTTGTGAGCCCATTGCCGGTACGGATGCCTCCACACCACAATAGTATTTGGAAGAGAGTGAGGATGAGTCAGATAATGGCATCACTGAGGGAAAGGTTTTGCCACAAAGGGCACTGAATTTAAACATTTTCTAAAACTGTAGATATTGTGTGCCATTTAACTAAGGTGCAGCAGATCTAGCAGATGAAGCACAAATGTTGACTATTAAACACTCTGGAAAATTAAGCAGTTTATCCAGTCTACCAGAAAATACACTGCTTGTGAGCTTTATGGAGCAATGAAAATTGGTAAAATGAACAATTCTAAAAACATTCTTCCGAAAAGACTATTTAGAATGAGTCTAAAATCGCCAAAACAGATAAAGAATGGGAAAACGTCTCTCCCTCACCTTTCTTGGCTTCCATGCCAGAACCTAGGGCGGCCGTGGTGGTCGGTCTGAGTTCAGAGCTACTCTGTGGAGTGACGTTTGCTTTGGCTGTGTTGGCCTTTCCCTTTTTGTCATTCTTGGAAGTGTCACTGGGCACGTCGGCTATGTCACTCTGGAACAGAAACATTCATACCAACCCACGTAAATGCCACAGAAGGTCAAATATCTTGCACATTCTTTATTTTACTAAATCGATTCTGACCCATGCAATTTTCCTGTTCCTCTGCCACACTTCTACTTTCTTAAAGGGTCTGTGCCTTGCAGGAATAAAATGTATGTGGTTTCCTCTGACTTGAACCACAGGGTCAAGCAATTGAAAAAAGATCCAACCCTTTCCAAGTATGGTATAGCTTCTCTTTTTCTAGCTGTTAGAGAGATGGTAAAAGGAACACTTGAAAACAAAGAAACAAACACTGCATATGTGCACTGGAATGGAGGATAGAATGAAAAACTGATAAGAATGAAATAAATGTCATTTTCATTAACTCACTGAATTAGCCAGTATCTCAATATATCATAAAAAGATATTAACCTTTCCTAGAAGCATTCCAGATGTTTTCCATTTCACTCTGCATGAGGCAGAGTCCTCAGATATGAGTTAAACGACCGGTGATTAAGTGTGTTTTTCTGACACTGGTCACATTTTACTGTTCTAGTCTTTTGTAGACCCTGGAAACTACTGCTGCACTAATATGCTCATTTAAAAAAAAAAAAGTCTTTAAACCTCCTGCATTCATTTATGGCTTTATAGTGCTTTTTAAATCAGTTTGACAACCAAACTTCCCCAACTCAGCTGTCCATAATCCAAATTTTTTACTTACAGTTTCAATGCCCATAGCTCTCATTTGGTCTGCTCTCTTTTCTGTAATTGAAAGAAATTTCTTTGGATCGGATAAAGCATCCACAATATCTGAAAGAAAAAAAAAAAAACAACACTGCGCTATTGCTATTTTATTTTACTGAAAATATCCAAGAAGATTCAACTGATATACTCTGTCATTCTGGAAACTTGTTATTCTTTCTGTTATGTGTCTTCTCCTAGGACATAAGGAAGTCATAATTAGTTACAGAAAACAAGAAATAAGTGATGGCAAGATCATTTTCTCTCTTTCTCCTTATTTTTTTCTCCAAAAAATGAAGGTAGGGTGGTAGGGCAAACTGAATGAAATGCGTTGGGTTCTTTTTGAAAATTATTTTAATAAAGGATTTGTTATTTTACTTGAAAGGGAAAAAGTGAGAGTGAAAAAGACAGAGAAATCTTCCACCTGCTGGTTCACTCCCCAATGGCCATAAATGCTGAGGCTGTGCCAGGCTGAAGATGGGTGGCAAGTATTTTTTCTGTCATCGGCTGCCTCCCTGGTGTGCATCAGCAGAGAGCCCGACCAGAAACAGTGCAGCCAGGACTTGAATCAGCACTCTATTATGAGATTCAGTAGTCCCAAGCAGTGCTTAACCTGCTTTGCCACAATGCCCACCCCTGTGTCTTGGGTTCTTAACTCTTATTTCTGTGTTTTTGAGCAAGTTGATAAATATCTGTCTCCAGCTTCAGACTCCAACTGATAACTAGGGCAGGAACACCTACCCTGCCAGGTAGTTGTGAAAATTCAGTGAGTTGATAAATGCAAAGAATACCTGATACATAGAATGTGCCACTAGTACTAAGTCTTATTTTTCTTTTGTTTCACTTATTTTTAAACGTATTTATTTATTCACTTTATTTGGAAGAGAGAGAGAAAGAGAGGGAGAAGGTGAGGGAGAGGGAGAGAGAGACTTTTATCCACTGGTTTACTCCTCCAAATGCCCACAAAAGCTCCTGGGGTTGGGCCAAGCAGAAGCCAGGAACCAGGAACTCCATCTGGACCTTCCATGTGGGTGACAGGAACTCAGTCCTCAAGCCACCATCTGCCACTTCCCAGGCACATTAACAGGAAGCTGGATCAGAAGCACAGACAGAGGCTGGCACCGCGGCTCAGGCTAATCCTCTGCCTTGTGGCGCTGGCACACCGGGTTCTAGTCCCGGTCGGGGCACCGGATTCTGTCCTGGTTGCCCCTCTTCCAGGCCAGCTCTCTGCTGTGGCCCGGGAGTGCAGTGGAGGATGGCCCAAGTCCTTGGGCCCTGCACCTCATGGGAGACCAGGAGAAGCACCTGGCTCCTGCCTTCGGATCAGCGTGGTGCGCCGGCCGCAGTGCGCCGGCCGTGGCAGCCATTGGAGGGTGAACCAATGGCAAAGGAAGACCTTTCTCTCTGTCTCTCTCTCTCTCTCACTGTCCAATCTGCCCATCAAAAAAAAAAAAAAAAAAAAAGGCACAGACAGAGGTTCAATGTCAGCACTCCAATAAGGGAAGAGGACATTCCAAGAAGTGGCTTAATCCACAATGCTAGCGTACCCACTCAGTCTTGTTTTTATATAGAAAAAATATAATTAATATTTAAAGCCAATTTTGGTACCATTGTAGATAAACTGGAATATTTCTCCAGTGTTTTCTCAGTAATAATTTGTATATAAAAAACAGAAAGCTTCATCTTTTTATAACTTTGAAGAGTTCCAGGTACTTTCAGAGTTTCATATAACTTCTCATAATTTACCAACATTACAGAAGAAATATTCTTATTAACTTAAAACACTACATAGTTTATACATCTTAAATGATATGTGTTTATAAGTTTTGCATTAGCAAAATTACTTTTCTTTCTTTCTTTTCTTTTTTTTTTTTTTTGACAGGCAGAGTGGACAGTGAGAGAGAGAGACAGAGAGAAAGGTCTTCCTTTGCCGTTGGTTCACCCCACAATGGCCGCCACGGCTGACGCACTGCGGCGGAGCACCGCGCTGATCCAAAGGCAGGAGCCAGGTGCTTCTCCTGGTCTCCCATGCGGGTGCAGGGCCCAAGCACTTGGGCCATCCTCCACTGCACTCCCTGGCCACAGCACAGAGCTGGACTGGAAGAGGAGCAACCGGGACAGAATCCGGCGCCCCAACCGAGACTAGAACCCAGGGTGCTGGCGCCGCAGGTGGAGGATTAGCCTAATTGAGCCATGGTGCTGGCCTGCAAAATTACTTTTCTAATTACAATTGTCTTCATCACATGGGATATATAATTCTGTTTAAATTTTTTCTTCCTTTTCCTGATAGAAATAATATATACACATAGTGAGCATTAAAAAAATTTAAGATTTATTTATTTATTTGAAAGGCAAAGTTACAGAGAGGCAGAGAGAGGCCTTCCATCCACTGGTTCACTCCCCAGATGGCTGCAACAGCCAGAGCTCAGCCAGTTCGAAGTCAGGTCTCTCAATGTGGGTACAGGGGCCCAAGGTCTTGGGCCATCTTCCACTGCTATCCCAGACCACAGGAGAGAACTGGATCAGAAGAGGAGCAGCCAGGACTCAAACCGACACCCATATTGGAATGTTCACACTTCAGGCGGTGGCTTTACCTCCTATGCCACAGCACGGAGTATAGAATGGAAAGTTATAACATCTGCTCCTGCCAATCCTACATTTAGAAAGTTACTGTTGTTATCACTTCCTGTATCATTCTAAATACTTTTAAAACTCCAGGCCGGCGCCGTGGCTCAATAGGCTAATCCACCGCCTTGTGGCACCAGCACACCGGGTTCTAGTCCAGGTCGGGGTGCCGGATTCTGTCCCAGTTGCCCCTCTTCCAGGCCAGCTGTCTGCTGTGGCCAGGGAGTGCAGTGGAGGATGGCCCAAGTGCTTGGGCCCTGCACCCCATGGGAGACCAGGAGAAGCACCTGGCTCCTGGCTTCGGATCAGCGCGGTGCACCGGCCGCAGTGCACCGGCCGCAGTGCACCGGCCGCAGCGCGCCGGCCGCGGCGGCCATTGGAGGGTGAACCAACGGCAAAGGAAGACCTTTCTCTCTGTCTCTCTCTCTCACTGTCCACTCTGCCTGTCAAAAAAAAAAAAAAAAAAAAAAAAAAAAAGAAAGAAAGAAAACTCCAAATAATGTCATAGTTTTCTGTATCATTTTTTAGTTTTTACTTTACTTATATCGGAAGCATTTCCATATTGGCAATATAGATCCACTATGCTAATTTTAAGACTTGCCTGTTGGAGTCATCCTTCCTGTTCTTTGCTATTAAAATGTGGTTGTAGTGAATGTCTTGAACATTTCATAGCATACCCCTGCAGATGTTCATAGGATAACTCCCTAGAAGTTAGAATGATGGGTAAGGATATTTGTCCTATGGTACTTCTCACCAAATTGCCCTCCAAACATATTGCATCAATGTATTCTACTAGGTCTGTTTGCAGTTATCACTGTGGTATCTAATAACTCTTTGCTTCTCAATAGCAAATGTAGAAAAATTTGTTTTTAAATCTTGCTGGGGGCTGGGGCAGCTCTGTGGCATAGCAGGTAAAGCTGCTGTCGGCGCCTGCAGTGCTGGCATCCCATATGGTTGCAGGTTTCAGTCCCAGTTGCTCCACTTCTGATCTGGAGAGTGAGTTATAGAGAGGCAGAGGCAGAGAGAGACAGTCTTCCATCCACTTGTTCACTCCCCAGATGGCCGCAACAGCTGGAGCTGCACTGATCCAAAGCCAGGAGCCAGGAGCCTCCTCCAGGTTTCCCATGTGGGTGTAGAGGGCATCTTCCACTGCTTTTCCAGGCTATAGCAGAGAGCTGGATCGGAAGTGGAGCAGTAGAGATTCAAACCAGCACCCCAATAGGATGCCAGCACCACAGGTGGCGGCTTTACCCGCTATCCCACAGCAACGGCCCAATTTACCTTTTTTTCAATGTCAAAATTTAGCTTCTGGGGTAGGCATCTGGCATAGCAGTTGACACTGCCATCCCACACTGGAGTGCCTGGGTTCAGTTCAGTGCTAGGCTGTTAACTCTAATTTCTTGCTGGCGCAGACCCTGGGAGACAACAGTGATGCCTCAAGTAGGTGGATTCCTGCCAACATCTAGGTAGGAGACTTAGACTGAGCTCCAACCTCCTGGCTTCAGACTGGCTCAGTTCTAGCTGTTGAGGCATTCAGGGAGTGAACCAGCAGATGGGAGCTCTTTATCTATGTCTCTCTCTCTCTGACTCTTAAATAAATAATTTTTAAAACATTACTTTCTCCATGTTAAGAGACATAAGTTCTGTTCTTCAGCCCAGAGATATTTTATTCCTGAGCTGCTTAAAACAGAGCTGTCCTCGAAGAGTTCAGAAGTTCATGGTAGCCATTTTTGCTGTTGTCTCTGAGTATTTTGAGCATCGTTACATTATAGCACTGAGAAGGAGAAGCAATCACACTGAAATCCCTTGCCTTTGTAGTAGGAGAGGGGTTAGGTGGAAAATGTGGGCTTTGGACCTATCTCTTGCTGTGAGGGAGCTGGGACAGCCTGAGCTCAAAGTCTCTAAAAAGCATATGATACAGGTGGGTGGAATTAATTACGAGCAACTGTGGAAGCAGCAAAAACATCAGTGGGGATTCATCATTATATGGTGACCTCACAGAACAGAACTTCAAGAAAGAGCTAGGCTGAATCTTTTATAAAGACCAGGCCCTACCTAAAGAATCACCTCAACTTGAAAAAGCCTTGGGAATATTATTGTTGTTCCTATCAAAATGGTGTCATCCACCTGGTATTACTGAGATTTTAAATACATTCAAAATCATATAGAATACAGAGCTGTCAGTGCCTAATGATAATCATCACAGTGGAATGATGAAAATGAAAGAAGTTTGTATGTGTTCAGTAGAGATGTAATTGTTTTCTGAATAATTTAAACCTGCTGTTGCTTGGGTGCATGGATATGAAGCCCAGGAAAGCAGAGGACTGACAGTAATGGATCCAGATTATCTTTCTTCAGCCCAATAAAAATGTGATGAGGTATACTGACGATTTTTTTTCCCCTAGAAAATGTTGAGGTGTGACGGGACAGTTTCATTTCAAACCTGTTCCTAGCCAATCAACAGAGAATCATCACCTTAGGAAACACAGACTCTACAGATTTCCTCCTGCACAGGTACAGCACATAAACACTCAGGTCTGACTATGGGGTTAGCTAAACACTTGAAATATGAATACAGAATAAGGCAGAAGGCTCCTTCAAAGAAGAGACACATTTGGAAAAAGATAGTCCTCAAATTCTTCTTTTGTTGTTGTTTTTTTTTTTTTTTAATTTTTTTGACAGGCAGAGTGGACAGTGAGAGACAGAGACAGAGAGAAAGGTCTTCCTTTGCCGTTGGTTCACCCTCCAATGGCCGCAGCGGCCGGCGCACTGCGGCCGGCGCACCGCGCTGATCCGATGGCAGGAGCCAGGTGCTTCTCCTGGTCTCCCATGTGGGTGCAGGGCCCAAGGACTTGGGCCATCCTCCACTGCACTCCCTGGCCACAGCAGAGAGCTGGCCTGGAAGAGGGGCTACCAGGACAGAATCCCGGCGCCCCAACCGGGACCAGAACCTCGTGTGCCAGCGCCGCAGGCAGAGGATTAGCCTATTGAGCTGTGGCGCCGGCCTTTCTTTTGTTATTTTCAATTAAGGCCATTAAACCTCATAGTGTCTACCCTTGGTTTCTTAGAATGGAAAGGGACGGGACCAGGGGCCAGGGTTGTGCTGTAGCAGGTTACATCGCTGCTTGTGGTGCTGGCATCCCATACTGAAGCCCAAATGCCCCTATTTCCATCCAGCTTCCTAGGCCTCTTCCAACTAAGTGGAAGACCAGGATGGAGTTTCTGGCTTCTGGCTTTGCCCTGGCCTGTTCCTGGCTATTGCAGCCACTTGGGGAGAGAACCAGGGAGTGGAAGATCTTTCTCTCCAGCTCTGTCTCCATTTCCGTCTCTGTCTCCATCTCTGTCTCTCTCCTGCTCTACCTTTCAAATAAATAAATCTTTAGAAAGAAAAGAGTGAGATGGGACCAGAGAATCCTGAATAAACTGTGTCTGAATGTTGAATCTGAGGCTGACATCCACTGCAGAACTGAGCAATCGTAACACAGTTCAGAAATGCCAAATGCTCCTGATAACAAAACAGTGGCCACAGCCACATGTTAGAAGAGATTAATTGGTGGGGCTGACACTGTGGCACAGCAGGTTAAAACCCTGGCCTGAAGTGCCAGCATCCCATAAGGGCACCAGTTCTAGTCTCGGCTGCTCCTCTCCCAATCCAGCTCTCTACTATGTCCTGGGAAAGCAGTAGGAGATGGCCCAAGTCCTTAGGCCCCTGCACCCATGTGGGAGACCCGGAAGAAGCTCCTGGCTCTTGGCTTGGATCAGTGTAGCTCCGGCTGTTGCGGCCATCTGGGGAGTGAACCACTGGATGGAAGACCTCTCTCTGTGTCTCTGTAACTCTCTTTCAAATAAATAAAATAATTTTTTAAACAAGAAGAGATTAATTGGAATCAATACTTAAATGTGAACACTGGCAAAAAGTTGCATTATAAATAAGTACAGATATTTCTCTAGCATAGATCTACATATATTCACATCTGAACAATTTCACAATTTTGGACTCATATAAAGTGCTTGGCATGAAACAGGAGCTCCATAAATAATTTCTTTACCTTTCTAATCAAATGAGTAATTTCTCAAGAATGAATTATAGAGTTTCACTTGAAATTTAACATACAAAGAGGCAAAAGCTTTTAAATCCTGTACTTTAGGCATTTATACCACTTGTAAAATGCGTACAATGTGTTAGATGTTTGTTACACACTCCTTGGCTTTCTAAGCTGCAAGCCCTTAAACATAGGCGCCAGTGCCCTGCTTCCTTCTCTGACCCACTTACTCAGCCCCGTAATTCCCTCTCCCAGCCTTCTTCTGTGGGCTCTTTTATCTGCTACTGTGGTGGTGGCTTCCAACATGATTTGTTTTTTTATGAGAGACTTAGGAGAAGAAGAAAGGAGTGTTTACTGTGAATCTGCAACTGAAACATCCTCATGGCTTGATTTGTTTTTTGAACTTACAATCCAATTGCTAAAGATGATGCTTCATCGCAGAAAATCTGCCCTCTAGAGAAGCATACGTTACTAAACTCAAACAACAAAACAACCCCATATTTCCCAAACAAAATAGTGAAGTGTTGAGTAGTACAGGAATTGTAACTGGGTCTATACACACACACACACACACACACACACACACACCTTGCTATATGTACTACAGAGGTAAACACTTCACAAGAATGCTATGAGGGAGACAAAAGTATTCTTTTTAGAGGTAAGGAATGAAAGGTTTGAGGGATTCCATCATGTTCCCAGGGCCATCAGCTACAAGTGGAGACTTGGATTTGAAACTTTGGTTAATCTGATACAGTTATTCTGCTGTCCTGTTTCCTTAAGGATCAATAAACAGAGAATTTAGATCTTTTAAAAACTGTTCTTACCTTAGCTGGGGTTTGTAAAGCCAAACCTATGACTCATTCTAGTCATGATTCCTACTACTGATGACCTTAGTAAAGCCAGTGTGGACTGATGACTTGGATTTCTTTGAAAATGAACTCTCTTGTGCATTTGGAAGAAAATGTATACATTTTGATAGCTGCATTCAATTTAAACTTTCTTGTGATACTAATTGATAAGAAATCTACAGTATCTCATTCTTTATTTTTTCCCCACCTTGATTGTAGCTGTAAATGTATCCATCACAAAACATATTTGTAGGAATTAATACAGGACATAAAATTATCATATTTTAAAACAAGAAAGGCCTTTAAAGACAATCCGGTCTTGTCCTTCCACTTCTTATATGAATCCTGAGGTTACACTTTATCCTTGAGCTCTTCAAGGCTGCCAGAGTTGGCTTCACTGACAGAAACAGACCTTATTATTTTTTTCAACCATGGGCAAAATGTCTTCTAATCTTATAATTGAGGACTTTGTCTACATCATATTCTGCACTCAAATGTTTATCTTACCTCCAAATCCATCAGGCACATATGTTTTAAGAACAATATTGCAGAAAATTGTTGGCAGTGATAATGGTTTATTTCCTTCATTCCGCAGGGAAATGTGTCGGTAGCCTGCTTGGAGGCCATCCAGGGGGAGGATCCTCTGGCCAATCAGCTTGTTGTTGTCATCATACACTGCTATTCTCAAGACAGCCAGGTCAGGCAGGATTACCTGCAAACAAAGAACAGAACTTTCCATAGATTTTTGTAATGCAGCTCCCAAGCACCACATCTCTAGGAATCTGGACCATACCCATACTGCTCTGCTCCTTTCTTGTCTCCTTAAAGACAGGTTTGTTTATTTTGAAATTCAGAGTTACAGAAACAGAGGAAGACAGAGAGAGAGAGAGAGAGAGAGAGAGAGAGATAGAGAGATTTCCCATTGGTTTACTCCTCAGATGGCCACAATGGCCAGCACTGGGCCAGACTGAAGCCAGGAGCCAAGACCTTCATCCAGGTCTCCCATGTGGGTGGCAGGAGCCCAAATACCAGGGCCATCTTCTTCTACTCCTCCCAGACCTTTAGCAGCGAGCTGGATTAGAAGTGGAGCAGCTGGGACATGAACCGCCACCCATATGGGATACTGGCACCGCAGGTGGTGGCTTTAGTCACTGGTCCCTGCTCTACTCTTAAATGGTTCTTTAAGGAAAATAAACTCATAATCCATTTGCATTCATAAAGTACTCTGTGTAAACTAAAATGCCCGAGACAATAAGAAGGGCCACTGGAACAGGTTTCTTGGAAATCAGCCCATCAAAAATGCTGGCTGAAATGGATGTGAAAATTACCACTCCAACCCTTGTCACCCTTCCCCACACCCACCTATGTAATCTGTAAGGAAAAAAGAGACTCTGAGGAATAAAGTGACTCCTTAATCTCAGAGTTGCCAGTGACAGCGTTCTGATTCTGTGATGTATCTACTACCTGGGGTACATTTGACATCTAGTTTTGCCTGGTTTTGAAAATATGGAGAGTATCTTCAAAGAAATGCATCATGTATAAAAAAAATTTATATATAAATTTGGATTCCACTTGTTTCTTACACTTCTCAATTTTCAACACATTTTGAGACATTAAATAGAGTTGGATAAGTAACAGAGAAGCATTACTATACTTCTGATCTCAAGACTACTCCTGTTATCTCCAAACTATATAAATTCACGGACATAAAAATTTGACTTCAGATGGCAGAATCTCTATGTAGTTACAAAACAGTTACAAGACAAAGGAAAACAAATGTCCATAAAAGTCTTTTATTAGCTAAAAGCAACCAGGACATCTCAGCTTATCTAAATACTATCTATATCTGGGCAATATATTAGTTGTCTACATGTATGTGGAGATGTTAATTTAACTCAGCTTCATGAAGGCAACTAAAATTCTGTCAACTTTGCTCATTCCTGTTCCTCATGTTATGAGTAGATGCCTGGGCTTTGCCACTCTTAAAAGATTCATGCAAAAGACAAAAGTGAAAATAATAAGAAACAAAACAAAACTTAAAGTGCTTGATAGCAGTGAAAGGCAATATAACTTCTGAAGAAGAAGGAAGGTTCCAGAATTGTCATCTTGTTGTTGGAGCTAGAATTATTACACAGAAAAACTAAATTGGATATTTCCTTGTTCATCATAGAATGCAAGATTCAATTTTATGATCTCTAGAAATGTGTGTAGGGATTCTTCTAGCTATCATGCTGGCAATACTGGCAACAAATCCAGATATATTAAATTGAAAAAATTGGAAAAAAACAACAGATCACACCTGTTTACATCACATCATCACAGAGTAGAGACGGTGGCAAAGGGAAAAAGATTAAGAGAGTAAAAACTGAGCGTTAGTGAGAACCACTGTGATTGTTCTCGGGATCCAGCGTATAGTAATGAGAGACAAAAGGAAAACACTGAAAATAGCACATGAAGCACAAAACCTGTGAATAACAAAAGAAGCCACACTTTCTGGAGGGATACAACCGTATCCACTCACCCATTTGTAATGACATTTATGGACCTTAATTTTGGGTGCAGCATCTCACCTGACCTCTTGGTGAATGGAATGGTGCAAATAATAGCTACTGCCAAAGAAAGGAAGAACTCTAATTTATGATGGTGTCCACCCATGAGGGCATTGCAAACCTGGAACTTGGGCAATCCCATGTAAGAGGGGGGCTCCACTGAGGAGGTGAGACTCACTAAGAATGCCCTACCTTCCGAAATACGAAAGATTCTTCATTGTAAACTGGATTGAGTCCATTGTTCATAACCATACGTGTTCGGAATTCTTTACGTATGGTGTCAGTTGGCAATCCATACATATCCACTTCTACGTATGTGCCAATTTTCTTATCTGATAAGAACTGACCTGATATGACCTGTAACAACACAGAAGTAGGATGAAAGAAAAGTATACTTGGTGCAATCAGTAGTAACAAAGAGTAATCTGGATATAAAAAATTCTGTATTTTGTAGAATTTAAATTACCTACAGAAATGATGCATTCAGTACTTACAAACCTAAACATTATTGGGCAACTACTACATGCAAAAAGCTGTTCTAGGCAGAGGTTCTACCTTCCGTAACTGTCTAGAAAAATAATGAGGAAAACGTACATGAGTCACATAATATAAAGAAATAGTGCTCACAGCATCTTCATTTCAACTACGTGTCCACACCTATGAAATGAAAAGATGGATTCAGATACACCCTAAGGTCCCTTCAGAGCTCTGGCCATCTGTTACGGCATACTTAGTACTGAGTTATTTTAAAGGTTTTGAAAAGAGGTACACAGAGAAAAGCAATGTTAGAATTTGACTGTTATGCTGCACTGATATTAACACTGGTCAATCATGACAGCATTATATATTTGTAAAGAACAATGGTAAATTCTACCTACTATAAAGCTATGGAGAGACTATTTTTCATATGCTTTCCAAATGACTACTCATGTTTTAGGTTTTTTTTTCCTCTAACAGCTAACAATTTTGAAGTAGTTTTTTTTTTTTTTTTTTTGAGGCATAACTGATACAGAACAAACTACATATATTTAAAGAGCATGCTTAGATAAGTTTGGACAAGTGAGTACATCTATGAAATTGTCACCACAATTAGGATAACAAACATTTCCATCATCCCTGATAGTTTTGTTGTGCTCTTTCCTAATCTTATCCCTCCCTTCACCTCTGTCCAGAGGCAACCAACCACTGATCTACTCTCTGTCACTATAGTGTTCATTCTCCAGAAGTTCATATACATAGAAGCACATATTGGGTACCTTATGATGCTTTTTTTTCAAGGTTGCTAGTAATTTTACCAGTGAGAAAGTGTGTCTCATAAAAGGGGGATTTTTAATCAAAGTGGAGAGCAACACTTGGATCTTACAATCTGACAATAAATATTTTCATTGTGATTTCTTCAGAACTTTCTGTATATAAATTTACTCTGCACTATGGAGAGCAGGGTCCTTACCTGCACTGAGCAAGTAGCGGCTATGACACCATCAACAGGAGTTTCAGAGAAGGGATCAAATGTTCGATCAGGCCGCCTCATGAAATCCGGTTTGAGAAGGTACCTAGTAGGACCAAAGCACAGGAACTTATTACAGTAGTATCTTTTTATAAAGATGAAACACCTACAATTTGAAATACTAAATACTTGTTTTTCTCCATCAGTAACTCAGGGGCTAGACTTTTAGGCAGAAGGTGCTGTCATTTTGGAAAACACGAAAGTGCATCAGAATGTTTCCTAGATTGCAGCCTCAATGGGACGAGGATGATCCTCTTCTCTTGAACTTTATTTTATACCATAGGCCTGTTAGACAGATCACAACTTATTCCACAAGATAACAACAATGAAAACTCAATCATCATAGCTGATACAAAAACATCATCAAGATACAAAAACTGTATCTGACATTCTACTTCTTTATCAATGATTCTTTATTAATACATTAAGTTTTGAGATCTGATAAGTCTAATGTCTCCTATATTTTCAAAGTACTGATATGCATAAAATACTTTGTGAGATCAATAACAATATAAATGACATATGAAAATATTTTATATTTATATTCATAGTACCATGAAAATTATTGTGGCTTTCGGATTACATTCAGAATCAAAGGAGATGTGAAATTTCAGTTAGAGGCAGGTAAAATTAAGGACTGATTTTTTTCCCTACTTTCTAATAAGGAAAATTAGACAAGAAAGTGAAATAAAAGACATCTAGACTGTAAATAAAAAAGCAAAAACATTTCTATTCACAAATAATATGATCCTGTATACAGAAAAGCTTAAGGAATTAATTTCAAAAAAACTATTAGAATTAATGAGTTCGGGGCTAACGCAGTGGCACAGTAGGTTAATCCTCTACCTGCAGCGCTGGCATCCCATTTGGGTGCCTATTCTAGTCCTGGCTGCTCCTTTTCCAATCCAGCTCTCTGCTATGGCCTGGGAAAGCAGTAGAAGATGGCACAAGTCCTTGGGCCCCAACACCCAGGTGGGAAACCAGGAAGAAGCACCTGGCTCCTGGCTTCGGATTGGTGCAGCTCCGGGCGTTGCGGCCATATGGGTGGTGAACAAATGGAAGGAAGACCTTTCGCTCTGTTTTTCCCTCTCACTGTCTGTAACTCTACCTCTCAAATAAATAAATAAAATCTTAAAAAAAAAAGAATTAATGAGTTCAGCACAATTGCAGGATACATGACTGATGCATGAAAGTCAATTGTATTTATTTCTATTCACTAACAATGAATGATCCAATATTGAAATTAATAAAAACAATTTAATTTACCAGAGAACCAAAAAGAATAAAATACTTATGAGCAAATTTAACAAAAATAAGTACATTTACTTTGAAAACCAGAAAAAAAGTTAAAAAAATTAAAGAAGACCTAAATAAATGTGTCTTTTTTTTTTTTTTTTCCACAGGCAGAGTGGATGGTGAGAGAGAGAGATTGATTCACCCTCCAATGTCCGCTGTGGCTGAGCCGAAGCCAGGAGCCAGGTGCTTCTCCTGGTCTCCTATGCGGGTACAGGGCCCAAGGACTTTGGGCCATCCTCCACTGCACTCCCTGGCCACAGCAGAGAGCTGGACTGGAAGAGGAGCAACCGGGACAGAATCCGGCGCCCCGACCGGGACTAGAACCCGGGATGCCAGCGCCGCAGGCGGAGGATTAGCCTATTGAGCCGCAGTGCCGGCCTAAATGTGTCTTTTTTAAAATTTTTTTATTTTTTAATTTATTTTTGACAGGCAGAGTGGACAGTGTGAGAGAGAGAGACAGAGAGAAAGGTCTTCCTTTGCCGTTGGTTCACCCTCCAATGGCCGCCGCGGCTGGCGCGCTGTGGCTGGCACACTGCGCTGATCCAAAGCCAGGAGCCAGGTGCTTCTCCTGGTCTCCCATGTGGGTGCAGGGCCCAAGCACTTGGGCCATCCTCCACTGCACTCCCTGGCCACAGCAGAGAGCTGGCCTGGAAGAGGGGCAACCGGGACAGAATCCGGCACCCCGACCGGGACTAGAACCCGGTGTGCCAGTGCCGCAAGGCGGAGGATTAGCCTAGTGAGCCGTGGCGCCGGCCGTAAATGTGTCTTGATTAGGAATAAAATATTGTTAAGATGGCATTACTTTCCAAGTTGGGAAGAAGGTACTTCCAGGAGTCCATGGAAAAATGAAATTAAATAATACATCTATTTGGTACAAAACATTATTGAAATCTATGCACAGTCTTCTCATTATGTGTATTTTTGTGAACTTTTTGAAGATACTTCATATGCATGAATTTCACAACTTTTTGAACTAAAAATAAACTTATCTTTTGATTCCATTATCCACAAACATTTTGAAGTAAAGTGCTACATGAATACAGAAACATGAGAGAAAAAATAGCCATATTGCTTTTTCATCTCTACACAATTCTAATTTCATGTTTTCATTTAACCTTTCAGTGTTTTGCAGAATTATACTTCATTTTTCACTTCTTCACTCATAGCTGCTAAAGAGTTCTATTACTGTATACTAGACAAAATTCATACTATTATTCTTGGGTAGCTTCTGTTTACATGACATGCAAAAGAATCAAGAGAAGGCAAAGGTTTATTCCCAGCTGAATTAAATTTAACTTGACATCCACAACTTTATTACATTTGAAAATTACTTTATTTCTTTATCTGTCCTGGTAAAACACACATATTTAGTATTTATGTCTCTAGTTCACATCCAAGTGAGCAAAAATCATTACCTGTCCCAAATAAAAGAGCCTCCATTATTGAATCTAAAGTGAAAGAATTAAACTCTAGAGTGCATGTGTAGGATGAACTACTTCACTTTAGGTTAAAAAATAACCTGCTAACAAAATGGGATAGATTACGAATGTATATTTGCAAATACAATCTACCCAGAGATTTTATTTCCATCGAAATCCTCAAACACAGCTCACACTCAGCAGCTGCTAATTAAAAATGACATGGTTTCATTATAGCTCTAGTATGGAGTCTTGACACTAGGTGACAACAGTTTAAATCACATTACTCACCCGCACGATCCATTATACTCAAATTTTCCCTGATTCAATTGCATTGCTAAATCTGTCAAGAGACAAAAATAATTTAGCATCTCATCTCCCTGGACAAAGAAGATCCTGACATGGTGATTTTAAACAATGGAAATCAGATTGTTCCTGTACCCTAAGATCAGCCTTTAACACCACAGAGGCGCTGCTGGCTTGTGTTAAGGCACAAAACTTTCTTCCATGTTGGAATGACCTCGTCTTTAATTTAACCACAAAACATGTTTTCATAAAGCTCATGCCAGAATTGCTTTCAAAATGAGATTCATCTGTGTGTTACAAGGTTGGTCATTCAGTGGGGAGGGCTGCTATATAAAGTGGGAGAGCATGTGCATCTTGCCCCTGGAGGAAGGGGACGCCAGGGAAACAGGGTCAGCATGAATACCAAACTCCATTAAAAAGAATAAACTATGAACTAAGTGAGGCTCATGCAAAAATTACTGGCTCATTCTCAGAGTCAGACATAGGGAGAATTCTTCCTCAGCAGTCTAACCAGGCAGGGCATGGCTTATGGTCTTTCTTTTGCAAGTGGATGAAACCTTCTTGGGTAAACCCATAGATTTCAATGCTGTAGGTAAAGCTAACATGATGGAATCCAACCTCAGCTGGCCTAGTGAATATGCTGCTTTAGAATCAGGTAATCCACACTATCGACCCACCGACAATTGAGGACATCATTGGACCCTTTTTCACGTATGTAACATCAGTAGTGCCTTTTGTTTTGCCCCTGCTAGAAACTCCTGGGGATTGTCCTCGTGCCGGGTCTAACTCTAACACAGCCAGGACTGTGCAGTGTCACAATGCTGACTCCATTAGCAGAAGCTTCTCCTGACTGAGAAGCCTTGATCAAAGGGTGGGAAATGCAGTCACTTGCATCCATGACAGCAGGCAGTAAGGTGCACCCATTGCTGGGTGGACCGGGAAAGGTAAAGACCCTCAGTCCGGAAATACGAATGGTGCCCTCATGTGGAAACGGATGAAGAAAAAAAAGGATTGTTGGTTGTGGCTTCTCTTTTATTTTACCAATTTTACAAACCGTGTTGTAGCATTAACCATATAAAATGAATAGGTTTTGTGGAGAATTTCTATCTATTCTATTTCATAGTTTTATCTGTATTTTAAATAGTGTAGTCCTTAACTCTTAAGCAAACCTTGAAAACTTTAAAAAATTGCTTATGCATTTATAAAAATTTGTCCATCTCCTTCCAAGAGGAAAAAGAATATTTATATTTTAGAAATCTGCTTTTGAATACACTTTGGAGGACCAATTTGTAGATCAATAGCTCTAAAAATCTATAACTCCTTCCACTGAAATTTAGAGTTTATCTGATAACATTCTGTATTTTTACTGTGAGTTGCCACCATAACACTCATATATGCTAAATGTTCACAGTGACCAGGGAATTTTCCAAAGGAGAAGTGCATTATGGTTATTGGACATTAATACCCAAAGTTTTTCCTTTTAATGTAAGAATTTGATCAAAAAGGGAGAAAAATAACAAATAATTTGGGATAGGTGGTAATGCTTATTAGAATACCCATGGATTTAATTAAAGGAATTTGAATTTAAATCAAAACGAATTATCTTCTACCACTGTTTTATTGCTCTATTCTGGGTTTTCAGTATCTCACCATTATACAAATCTGACAACACACTGTTTTGCCAGATGCTTGCTTCTTTTTTTTTTTTTTTTTTCCTTTTCTTTTTAAATGCCCACAGCTAACTGAGGACACCGTGGTACTGTTCTGTCAAAGCATTCTCATGGAATTCGAGGTCACTGGACATCACTCCTTACCTGGGGTTTGATAGTTCAGTGAAACCATCTGGCAGCCGGCGTTCCAGAAAATCTGAGGCATGTAATTACTGGAATCGACTCGGCCTCCCTTTGGGTAAATGCGACTCATTTGCCGTTTGTTATAACTGTGTAACTTATTAAGGAAGATAGACAAACAACAGTACTACAGCAGAGGTAAATATACAACCAAGAGCTAAAGCAATCAAGGGCTAAACTAACAATGACAAGCACGTAGAGGAAAACCACAAATACCACCTTGGTAAGGGATGCTGAAGTAGGAAATCACAGGCCATCCTGGGGATGATAAACACCATTCACATCGGAGCCAGCTGTCACAGCTGCCATGGTCTTTCACATGTGATATTTTATTGGCGCTACAACCAAAACGAAATCACAGATATTTATCTATTTTAGAGACTTCTGCCTCATCAAAGCACACCAAACCCTCCTTCTACCTGTTATATAAAGGATACTTTACAAATTCAATTGCATGTGTCTTCAAGTAGCCAAGGCCAACTGATTCATTAAAAGAAGACATGTTATAATGAATATTGCGTTCTGCAAAAGAAAAGCAAAGATGCACTCAGAAAAGTAAAGTTCCAAGCATCCTGAGTCTGAAAGCTTGGTGGTGAACACTACGTGATCATGTCAGGAGTCCCTAGTTTTAATATCCTATGGATGGAGACCACTGACTTTAAGATAAAGAAACTGTGAATTAAACTTGAAGTCATTAAATAAACTACATGTATTCCAATTGCCAGGGTAATCCCTGAAATATGTATTTTTCATGATGGCTCCACTATCCCAGAAATGACTATGAACAGTTTTTAAAATTTTGTATAGGAGGATGCTTCAAAAAGCTCCTGAGACAAATGGAATTAAAAGATGTTTTTATTTTGGCAAAAAATGAAAATTATGCATAATTTTTTCAGAATACCCACTTTCCATGAACATTTTGAAGATCCCTTGTATGCTTTTTGTTATCAACTTTTAATTTTAAAAAGTCCTATGAAAACATGAACTCTAATAGAAGTTCACAGTCTTTCAGAGCCACCTTGTGGATGATTTTGGGAATGACAATGCAATGCCACCCCATGCCAAGGACATGCCAATTATAAGGTGAGATGGGACCAAGTCAGATCAGAGCTCATTAGCAAAATGAAAGAAAAGCAGACAAAAAAAGGCTATTGCATTTAACCTGTAGTGTTACCTTCAGCCACATGGAAACCCTGAAACTTTACAGGCTGTGCGTAGTTGATCATTGTGGACAAATACGGGTGGATATTAGTGGTAGCACCTACATATTTATAAGATGCCATCCACGCCTGCTCATCTTCTACAGTAACCAGGCCCTGTGAGCACAAAGAAGAGAACATAAGAGTCGATGGCTTCTACAAGATCCACAGATATATGCTAGACTCTTCCTAAAGATAGTTTGCACGTACATACACACACAAACTGAAAAATAAGACCCTTCCCTCCCAATTGTATTGAAGAACAATTTAAAAAGTAGAAATCTCCCAAATAATGCAAAAGAAAGTAGCTCCCAAATAATGCAAAAGAAAATAATCATAAAACATTAGGCATATCTTCACATTTTTAGGACATTTTTGGAGTTTCAAAGGACATTAAAATATTCAAGCAACTATAACTGATGTCACAGTAAGGCTGTACAATACAAGGGTACTTCAAAAAGTTCATGAAACAAGGGATTTAAAAGATAAGTTTAAGAGTAGGTGTTTGGTGCACCCAGATCCCATAGCAGATGTCTCAGTCTGAGTTCCAACTCCACTTCCTATTCCAGCTTCCTGATAATGTGCATCCTGGTAGGCAACAGGTTATGGCTCAAGTATTTGGGTCCCTGCCACTCACTTCAGATACCCAGATTGAGTTCCTGGCTCCTGGCTTTGGCCTGGCCTAGTCTTAGGCTATTAAGGAGATTTGAGGAGCAAACCAGCAAATGGATGATTCTCTCTTGCTCTCACTCTCTCTGCCCTTCAATTAATTAATTAATTTCTAGATGATTAATTTATTTTAATGCAAAAACATGTTTCTACAAAGTTTTTGAAGATACCATATCTCTTCTGTATACCAGGTATTATCATTTATATTTTCATATGTTGAGGCACAGGGTAAAAAACAATGAGCCTCAAAGTTTAGTGAGCATCAGAATTGCCTGCAGGTGTTATGACAGGTTGTTAGGACAGATTCTTGGTCCCAACCCTCACAGTCTGTAGAGAAATGAGTCTGAATGAGGACCAAGAATTTATCTTTCCATGGGTAGTTCCCGGGCTGTTGATCTGGCTGGTCTGGGACCATATTTTATAGTAGCAGAACTCCAGAACTGAAGTCAAACATGCAAGTGGTTTATAGTACTTTTGTTTTTAATAATCTTTTCATTCTATTTTCCCATGGATTTTTAAAAAATTTATTTTATTTTAAAGGCAGAGTTATGGAGAGGCAGAAGCAGAGAGAGACAGAGGTCTTCCATTCACTGGTACACTCCACAAATGGCCGCAACGGCTGGGGCTGAACCGATCTGAAGCCAGGAGCCAGGAGCTTCTTCTAGGTCTCCCATGTGGGTGCAGGGGCAAAAGCACTTGTGCCATCTTCCAGTGCTTTCCCAGGCCATAGCAGAGAGCTAAATTGGAAGTGGAGCAGCCAGGACTCAAACTGGAGCCCATATGGCATGCCAGCACTGCAGCCAGCAGCTTTACCTGCTAAGCTACAGTGCTGGGCCGGCCCCTATGGTACTTTGTAAGAAGTGCTTGTTTTTAAAATAGTCTGTTAACTCACTACATGGGATATACTGACGTTGTATTACTCTACACATAGCAGAAAAGAAAATGAATTATTTTAATTTACTACTTGATAAACCAGAAAAAAACAACAAAACCAGTAACAAGAAATAATTCCTTCCAAAGAGATCAACATTTTGCAGATTTAGAAAAGACAAATTTCCTGTATGGACTGAATCTAGGTGGACAAACTACTTGGTCACCTGAAGCCACCCATGAGCATAAAACAGTCAGATTATTTGTCTGTCGTAACTGATGTCTAAACAATCTGAGCATTCTAAACCATCACAATGATTTCACCAAAAACACATGAGATAAGTAACCAAACGATGCCATTTGTTTTTAATCATTCCCTTCAGTTGTACAAACTCTCACCATAAAATCAGGACAGACATGAAATCTGCTTCCTTCTTGTGTGTTTAGTGACAATAAATAGCACCAATATTAAGTGCCAGGCACTGGGAAGAATTTTTGTACAAGCTCATTACTGTCAGCTAAGTGTCATGAGGATTAAAGCCCTACCCAATGACACTTTAGAGGACTGAGGTCTTGAGGGTTAAAATAACTGCAAATAAATGGTAATGACCAAATATCAATCAACCTGTGCAGTGCTGACACTAGTACCTTAAGAAATTCTAGTAGGTGCAGACACTGTGGTGTAGTAGGTTAAGCCTCTGCCTGCAGTGCCAGCATCCCATATGGGCTCCGATACTAGTCCTGGCTGCTTCTCTTCCAATCCAGCTCTCTGCTATGGCCTGGGAAAGCAGTGGAATACAGCCCAAGTGCTTGAGACCCTTCCCCTGCATGGGCAACCTGGAAGAAGCTCTTTGTATCAGTCCCAGCTCTGGCCCTTGCAGCCATTTGGGGAATGAACCAGGAGATGGAAGAGTTCTCCCTTTGTCTCTCCCTGTCTCTGTCTGTAACTCTCTCAAATTAATAAATAAATCTTTAAAAGACAACGACTAAAAGAAATTCTAGTTAGCATGAAAGAAGAGGGTATTTACATACATTTTAGTAGAGGGCTGTGATCTGATTTATCCACAGTTCTTTAAAATGTAATACATGGGGCTGATGTTGTGGTTTATTAGGTTAAGCCCGCATCATGGTGCCACCATCCCACATGGGCTCCAGTTCAAGTCCTGGCTGCTGCTCTTCTAACCCAGCTCTCTGCTATGGCCTGGGAAGGCAGTGGAAGATAACCCAAGTGCTTAGGCCCTTGACTGATATGGGAGACCCAGAAGAAGCTTCTGGCTCCTGGCGTCAGATCAGCTTAGCTCTGGCAGTTGCAGTCATTTGGGAATGAACCAGTGGATGGAAGACCTCTCTCTCTCTCTCTCTCTCTCTCTCTGTAACTCTGCCTCTCAGGTAAATAATCTTTTTTTAAGACAATGGTTTTTTTAAAAAAAGAAATTCTAGTTAGTATAAAAGAAGAGGGTAGTCACAAAAATTTTAGGAGAAGGCTCTGAACTGATTTATTCCCAGTTCTTTAAATGTAATACTGACACAGTGTGCAGATAGGGTCTCATTCCACATAAGATAGGACTTCACAGGCAGTAAGGTACAGAGTTCATGAGTCAATTCACAAATCAAATTTCTGCCTGTGACTGTCATCAGTGTCATTACTGTATAATAAACCATGTATACGTCCTAAATAACTCCATTTTGACTATCATGAAGAATATTAGAGCATAAAAGAAACTGAAATAACTCTATGCAGTAATACTCATGTTCACTAGCTAGATTTAGCTAGTCCACAATGCACACATACTTCAAAACATTAAATTGCATATCATAAATACACAATTTTACTTGTCAATGAAAAAAATAAACTTGAACAAAAGAAACTGAAAATGTGACTCTACCTTTCTTACAATAAGACTAATATATAATAGCATCCCAGAAAGTATTCAGTATAAAATTAAGTAGTAATAATTCAGAATGTCACTGCTGTCAGAACCACTATAACATGGACTTGATGACCTGTTAGCTCAACTTTATTTTCAAATTCAATATACTGATGTTTAGGTGATCTTACTCCAGGAATTACCTCTCTAATTCCAGTTAAGAAAATCCCTTACTGCATCAAACACCTATTTTCAAGAAAATCATCTAATTCACCAGCCCTGAATTTATTATTTATAACAGGACTGCATAATTTCATCCCTGCAATTCTTTCCTTCGGAAATGTTTACATTGGATGCATCCAGCTTGCCAATGATTAGTCCATAAACACTAAGACTTATGATCTGAAGGCTGGGGGGAGATGGAGGAATAAGAACACTCAGTTCAAAATGTTAGTATTAGAGGGCCACATATGGGTGTCTCAAAATGAAAAGTCAATTTACAATGGAATTATTTGGTTACCTTTTTGTTATTTTCATGGTCAAGATCATCTGAGGCCTAAATTAGAGAAAGAAATTAATTTGTTTACTTCCCTATGGGGCAAAATCACAAATTTAGTAGCCATATGTATGTTTTCATAAATTTATGCAGATGTGTTACTTCATTTACTTGTTAAGATAGGAAATTTTTGAGGCCATAAATCCATGGAGAAAAGAAAGTACTGAAAAGATTTGATTATTTCACTGTTTTATATACCAGAATTATATGACTTTTGGCTACAGAAACTTGTGCCATTTTTGATTCTTCAATATATCTTTTTAAATTATTTTAAATTTTTTTATTTGAAAGGCAGAGGGACACATTGAGAGAAAGAGATAGACAGAACTTCCATGTGGTGGTTTACTTCCCACATGCCCACAACAGCCAGGGCTAGGTCCAGGTTGAAGCCAGGAGCTGTGAACTAAATCTGGGCAGCCCACATAGTGGCAGGGACACAACTCCTTCAGCTGTTGCCTACTTGCTTTCCAGTGTTCACATTGGCAGAAAGCTGGATAGAAAGCAGAGCTAGGGCTAGAACCCAGACACTGTGATAAGGATGTCACAAGTGGAATCTTAACCATTGCATCATATGCCTACTCCAGCTTTCTTAATATATCTTGAAACCATTTAGCCCTGTCCTCTCCATTTTTGCTATCTTCTTTTCCAATCCTGTCCTAACAGCTTTTCTTGCTTCCATTCAATTTCATTCTAAATCTGTCACCACTGAGTAACCCTGGCCAGCTTTGAAAACCCGTATCAGGCACAGCAAGCAGCTAGCATAATGGTTAAGATGCTGGTGTTCCATACTGGAGTGCCTGGGTTTAGTACTTGGCTCTGGCACCTGACTCCAGAGCCCTGCTAATGCAGACCCTGGGAAGAAGTGTAATGCTCAAGTGATCGGGTTTCCATTACCATTATCAGTCTACTCTGACCCCTTTTAAAGTTTTTCAATGCCTTCACTTTTCACTCACAGTTTGAATTTCTCCTAAACACCTCCAAAATCCTACATCATCTCATTCCCATTTATCTGCTCTTTGTTACCCTGTTTTACTCTATCCCTCATTTTTTTTAAATTTATTTAATTTTTTTGGAAGTCAGAGACAGAGAGAGAGAAGGAGAGACAGAGAGATCTTCCATCCATTACTTCACTCCCTAGATGGTTGAAATGGCCAGTGCTGGGCTAGAAGCTTCAACTAGGTCTCCCACATGGATGGCAGGGACTCAAACACTTGGGTCATCTTCTGCTGGTTTTCCTAGGCCATTATCAGGGAGTGGATTGGAAGTAGAACAGCCAGGACTTGAACTGATACCTTTATAGGATACTGGCATTGCAGGCCATGGCTTTATCTACTGTGCCACGTTGGCCCCTCTATCCCTCATTCAGTTCACTCTACTCACATCACCTTTGTTATGGTTGTAGTCTCTTCATGGGAAGTTACTCCTCTATCTCTGTGTGTGGCAGATTCTTCATTCCACTTTGGGTCCTGGTTTTCTTATTCCTTCCATCTCATCACTCTCCATTTTATTTTTTTAAAAAGATTTATTTTATTTATTTGAAAGACAGAGTTACAGAGAGAGTAGAGACAGAGAGAGAGGTCTTCCATCCACTGGTTCACTCCCCAGATGGCCACAATGGCTGGAGCTGTGCCAATCCGAAGCCAGAAACCAGGAGCCAGGAGCTTCTTCCGGGTCTCCCACATGGGTTCAGGGGTCCTAGGACTTGTGCCATCTTCTACTGCTTTCCCAGGACATAGCAGAGAGCCGGATTGGAAGAGGAGCAGCCGGGACTAGAACTGGCACCCATATGGGATGCCAGTGCTTCAGGACAGAGCATTAACTCACTGCGCCACAGCGCAGGCCCCCACTCTCCATTTTAGTGCTTATTTTAATTTTCATGATAGCACTCATTGTAAGCTATAATTAAACTTGACTACTTATTTGTTTTTGGTCTGATCCCCACCCACTTCTCTAAATTATAATCAGCCTAAGGGAAGAAAACAAGTGTGTGTGTGTGTGTGTGTGTGTGTGTGTGTTTAAGATTTTATTTATTTATTTGAGAAGTAGAGTTACAGAGAGAGGGAGAGTCAGAGATAAAGGTCTTCTGTCTGCTGGCTCACTCCTCAAATGGCAGCAACAACCGGAGCTGAGCTGATTTGAAGCCAGTAGTCAGGAGCTTCTTCCAGGTCTCCCATGTGAATACAGGAGCTCAAGCACTTGGACCATCCTGCACTGCTTTCCCAGGTCATAGCAGAGAACTGGATTGGAAGAAGAGCAGCCAGGACACGAATTGGAGCCATAAAGGATGCTGGTGCTGCAGCGGAGGTTTAGCCTACTAAGCCACACTGTCGGCCCCAGCAATTTTGTTTTGACCCTTACAGATTGCAATGGCTTAGACTGTACCTAATAAAGGTAGGTACATGGTAATCTTTCTTGGGTGAATAGCCTGAAATATTTTTATGCATGTATATTAGGAAGAAGATGTACAATGTACAAAGATGTACAATTCATGGAAATGCATGTTATGAAAAAACAGTGCATGAATTTATAAATGTTTTGCATCAAAATAAACCTAATTTTTAATTATACTTTTCCACAAACTTTTTGAAGTATCCTTACATAACTAGTAAAACTGCTAACTTCCTTACTGAGGACTTAGAATATTTTGAGGTCAATTCCCTTATGATTGCAACAGGTTAATTGGTGCCACTGGGATTTTGTTTTCCGCCCATCTACAATAATGTGATAAATGATAATATTTTTCTTTTTTTGACAGGCAGAGTTAGACGGTGAGAGAGAGAGAGACAGTGAGAGAGTTATAGACAGTGAGAGACAGAGAAAGGTCTTCCTTCCGTTGGTTCACTCTCCTAATGGCCGCAATGGTTGGCACTGAGCTGATCCGAAGCCAGGAGCCGGTGCTTCCTCCTGGTCTCCCATGTGGGTGCAGGGACCCAAGCACTTGGGCCATCCTCCACTGCCCTCCTGGGCCACAGCAGAAAGCTGGACTGGAAGAGGAGCAACTGGGACTAGTACCCAGTGCCCCAACTGGGACTAGAACCCGGGGTGCCAGCGCCGCAGGTGGAGGATTAGCCAAGTGAGCCACGGCACCGGCCTAAGTGATAATATTTTTAATGGCACTAGTTAAATGAGTAGTGATTGACACTGAACATGCTTAATTTTAACACTCTTTTTAATTTCATTATGTGTGTGTGTGTGTGTGTGTGTGTGAAGTTCTAGTCACCCAGCAGGCAGCAGGGACTTTTGTCCACACCAATTAGAAGGGGACTATAGACTACGTAATTCTCCTGTAGTTGTTGCATTTCCAAAATCGCATAAATAGCAGTAGCTACTTCTTGAGAGTCATTAAAGAAAAGGGATATGAAGAGTCTGACCTTTTTGACACTATTTGCAACAGCTTCCTTGTGACCCAAGTCATCTGCAGAAAGTTCATTTCCAAATTTGAATTCGGGGTGAGCTTCCTCCTCTTGGTCAGCTTTGTGAAAGATGAAAGGAAAATCTTTGAGCCAAATTACTACCAAGCAATTACACTTCACCCATAACCTTGGGTAGAACATAACTCTAGGTTTCCATGACCTATAGTCTGTAACCTCTCACCATCATTACTAAATTTCCATTTAATATCATTTTTCTAGTCTACCTTTCCTAGCTGGATGAAAACTATTGAAGTCAATGGTCATGTTCCATATAAAATGGGAGAGGCTTAACAATTATACCATTAAAAGAACTGTATGAATTCATGCTGTTATTCTCAGGGTTAATGTGTATACACACACACAATTTTGCTATTTTCCACTGCTTGTATCAGAGTCCTAGGAGCTATACACCATTCCAAATCTAATTAGGCACATGCTTTCACTAAGAGCCTTTTCTATTTTCTACAGCCTTCAGCCAAGCCTGTGTTCTTGAACTATGCTTAGTGTCCTCTTGCTGCTGTTCTGATAAATTTAACTTACAGATTCTAGCCAGGCATGTAGAGTAGGACCATCCTGTGACACCAACGTAATTATAGCCAACTGATTGACCAGAACTCCAGCCGCATTTTACTGAGGGAACCTAAGAATCACATATATAACCCAGCTAGTAGGAGAAACAGGCCCAGCAGTTGAACTGCCAGTCATGTGATGAATGAGTCATCTTGGGGAACTGGCCCGGCTGAACCTTCAGAAGACTCCAGTCTCAGATGTCATGAGAAACCAAAAGGAGAACCCACCTATCTGGGCCCAGAGGACCCACGAAACTATGAAGGGTAATAAAAGTGTGTGTTTCAAGCATTTCAGTGTTGAGGTAGCTTATCACACAGTAACAGATCACTACAACAAGCATCAGTTGAAGAATATCTAATAACCTTGGCCTCCCAGACTCTCCTTTCACAAAAAACTTATGAAAGTAACCCATTATGACTATTCTCTGATAATGGACTCAAAACCATGGTTTGGACCTACACTTGCATCATTTATGAACTCTGTCCTATAGACAGGAATCTTTATTAAGGGGTCACAGATGAGATGAGTTAATTCTCACAGCTTTCAGATTTTTACCTATGTATTTAACATTCCTAAAAGCATAGTTCAAATGTTTGGATAATAAATGCCCAGAGTTCTTTCAAATATTTATAAATTATTCAGCCCAAAACCATCATACAAATACACAGAATTATCTAACCCAATGCAAGTCCAAATCATCTTATGTTAAGCAAGGGAACAAATAATTTTCTAAAAACATCCCCAAACTCTCAAATTACCCATTTCAAATCACCCATTTCAAATCAAGCATATGGTTATGGCTATTAGAGCCAATATAAAATACAAGGTAATGGTAAATATTCAAATATTTTAAGCAAGGATGACTTTACTGACATTGTCTACCTGTAAAGATAATTATAGTAAGCTGGTTATTTGAAGGAATGTGAACTTGAAATTTTAACACTGATCCTATAGTTTAAATATAGTATGTCACCATCAAAAACTAGCATTGAGTCTTGCTCCAATGCAACAGTGTTGAGAAGTCCTGGGGCTTTATGCAAGATTAATGCTTTTTTCTCAGAGTTCTCCCTCTCTTGGACTTGACTGGTTACTATGAAAGTAGGTTGTTACGAAGGGAGCTTGGCACTTCCCCTTGGTCTCTCTCCTATGTGCTCTTACCTGGTGGTACCATCCACTCTGAGGCTCTGCTCAGAAGCTGAGACAACGCCAGCACTATACTCTAGGACCCCAGAACTATTAAGCTAAATAAACCTCTTTTCTTAAAAAAACTCAGAATTTGGTATTTTGTTATAACAGAAAAATAACTAAAATAGATGTCTATGAGTCTCCAGTTCACTTTGGGAATACATGTGAACCATTCTACCCATACAGTCCTTCCCTCGTCTTAATGCTATCATTATAATAAGACTGAAGTTCACGTTTTTGTCTGTAATAAGGGATTGCAAAATGTTCTTTTTCCTCCAACCCCTGCCTACTACAGTGAGTGTTTCAAGGGTTCTCTAGCTGTGCATTTTTGCTAAGCAGCTGAACACACCACAGGAAGGCAGGTGACTAAGCAACTAAAATCTGGTACCCAGAAAAATTGGAAGAAATCGTATTTGGAAAAATAACAAAACTGCCAAAAGATTAAGGTTGACCCATGAATACACACCTGACTATTGAGAATTAAAATGTCACCATTATATAAAAGGGTCCACTGAGACAAATTTACGTTTTTCTTACTTTAAGACGTGTCATGTAACTTTTAAAAAATAACTTACCACTTTCTATTTCCTCTTCATTATCATCCTCTAAAATGTTAGCTGGGGAAGCAGATTCTCCAGCCTCCATCATGCTTTTCAAAGCTTCGAGCTGTTCTATTATTAAAAGCAAACAAGAAGGAGATGGTAACAGATGTGAGATCACAACAAAATCTGGGCTTTAAGGCTAATACGGAGAAGGAGGAACTGAAAAGGGAAAGGAAACATCGTTTAAGCATTTGTTGCCCATATTCCTAAAATTCAGAATCAGACGCTATCTCACCCATACCTGGTGGTCTTGGCTTTCTAAGGAATGTACAACAACCACATTATGAACACACGATGAATAACAATTGGAACTTGGGAGAACTGTCCAAAATCGTGTCGCCAGGTTTGAGAGAGAAGCTGTGTCCTCATGAAAGATTTCAGGCTTGACAACGAAAGCTCAACCAATGTTATGAAATGATAGGAAAGAGACACGCATGTTGGAGATCAACAAAACTTTAGGAAAAACAAACAAACAAACAACAACCTGGGTACTGGCCTGGGCAGCTGACCCAGAAGTTAAGACACATGCCTCCACTATTGGAGTGCCTGGGTTCAATTCCCAGTTCCAGTTCCCAATTCCAGCTTCCTGCCATTTCAGACCCTGGAAGGCAGCAGGTGATAGCTCAAGTAGTTGGGTTCTTCTACCCACGTGGGAGATCCGTACTGAGTTACTGGTTCCTGGCTCCAGCCCTGACTCTGCCCTGGCTGCTGTAGGAATTTGGAAACTGAATTAATAGTGGGTGCTCTGTCTTCCTCTCTCTCCCTTTGCTGTGGCACAGTGGGTTAAAACCCTGGCCTGAAGCGCCAACATCCCATATGGGCACCGGTTCTAGTCCCAGCTGCTCCTCTTCTGATCCAGCTCTCTGCTATGGCCTGGGATAGCAGTACAAGATGGCCCAACTCCTTGGGCCCCTGCACCTGTGTGGGAGACCTGGAAGAAGCTCCTGGCTCCTGGCTTCAGATCAGCATAGCTCCGGCCTTTGTGACCATCTTGGGAGTGAACCAGCGGATGGAAGACTTCTCTCTCTGTCTCTACCTTTCTCTGTAACTCTGTCTAATAAATAAAATAAATCTTCAAAAAAAATTTTTAAAAAGTATTTTCAATGGATATAACCAGGTTTATTATCCTAATATATAAAAAGGTTTTTATAAGTCAGTAAAATTAAGGTAAGTAAAATAATTTTTGTAAAAATGAGAAAACATGTAGGAAGAAATTATAAATCATGGTATCAAAAACCAGTTATCAAAAAGATGCAAATAAAAAAGTGAGGCTGGGCTGGTGCCGCAGCTCACTTGGCTAATCCTGTGCCTGCAGCGCCTGCACCCCAGGTTCTAGTCCCGGTCGGGGCACCGGATTCTGTCCCGGTTGCTCCTCTTCCAGTCCAGCTCTCTGCTGTGGCCTGGGAGGGCAGTGGAGGATGGCTCAGGTCCTTGGGCCCTGCACCCGCATGGGAGACCAGGAGGAGGCACCTGGCTCCTGGCTTCGGATCAGCACAGCCCGCCAGCCACAGCAGCCACTTGGTGGGTGAACTGACGGAAAAAAGGAAGACCTTTCTCTCTGTCTCTCTCTCTCTTTGTCTAACTCTGCCTGTCAAAAAAAAAAAAAAAAGTGAGTCTATCATTTTTCTTCTATTAGTTGAGCACACATATAAACATGGTCCATAGTCAGGATAAAGGGTATTTGCTGGGAAATAGGCATTCTGTACATCACTGATGAGAGTTTAAATTGGTATAACTTTTCTGAAAAGATAAATCATAATATAAATGTGTATGCTGTGACCAAATAACTAACTGCACTAACTGATTCTAAGTAGAAAGTTATACAAACGTACACAATGAAAATTCATCCATGTTTACCAGGGTTGCTTTTAATAGTGAAAATTCATAAACTTAGGGCTGGTTAAATTATGCTATAATAAATAGAAAAATTCTAAGTGTCATACAATGAATTCTGTAAAGTGTTTCATACATTGGGATTAAAGTTAGTATGTAGATTTGTATCATACTGGATATAAGTATACTTAATTGGTTGAATTATTAAAAATGAAAAACCAACATAGTTAACATTTCAGTTTTGTTAAAATGTCTAAATATGTACATGTGTCTACATGTGTTTTATTACATATTAAGTGTGTGTAACACATAATTTAGTGTTATTCTACTATTTTCTTATATTTTTCCTTGTTTTATTTTTCTTGCGGAATAATTGCTTCTGTAATAAAAATAACCATTAAAATTATTTTTAAATTGTTATTTAGGGTACCTGGAAGGAAAACACACTGAAATCATACAAATATTTTATTCTATTAATGCACTGAACTAAGAGATGCTCTGAAAAAAATTTTCAGAGAAAATGTTCTGGGAAAATAAAAGGAAATATATCTACATAAAGCCATTTATCTCTCTATTCACACAGATACACATAAATATTTATCTAGGGTCTATGTATGTATTACATGGGCAAACTACAAAAGAAAGCTTTTCAAAATGTTTATTTATTTATTTTCCTCTATTGAAAGGCAGAGCAACAGAGAGAGACAGGGATCTCCTACCAATGGCTCACTCTTCAAAAGCCTGCGACAGCCAGAACTCCATCAGGTCTCCCAGATGGGTGGCAGGGACTCAAGTACTTGAACCATCATTCACCACTTCCCAAGACGCATTAGTTAGAAGCTGGATTGGAAGCAGAGTAGCCAGGACTCAAACTGGCTGTCAGATATGGGATACAGGTGCTCCAGACAGTGAGTTAACCCACTGTGCCACAACACTTTTCCCTAAAGGAAAATTTTTAAAAAGGACTTCAGAGTCCATAAAGTTACAAAATGCTAGTTCTTTATATACCTTGATAGATTCTACAATGCTTCTCCCACAATGCTTCTTCCCTACATCCCTTGGCATCCCTCCAGAATCTGGCATATGAAACTATGGCTATGCTTTCCCCACTGTTAGTAACTAAGTTGAGAAAGAAATCAAACTGAAATGAAAATATGGCAACTTTTCTCTGAAAAGTATATGTAGCATCACCACTACACTCCTCACTCCCAAATCAACAGTTTTAAAGTAAGTATCATTCTAGGCAGTTGAGTTGACCAAACACATCATGTTTGCTTCCATTGTATGTGCGTATCTGACTTACTTTTTTCAACTTCAGGTTTCAGTCGTTTATTTTTGATGAGAATCTTTCTTTTGAGGTCATTGGGGGATGGCAAAGGTCTGCCTGGTTCGAGCTAAACAGAAAGAGTTGAATTAGTGAAAGGTGGTGCTTCTCCATCCTTCCAGTCCAGGGCAAGCATGGGTGGCTTGGGAGTCATACAACCCAGAACCACTAGATGGCAGTCAGTGCAGTCTTATGTGTTCATTCCCCAATCCAAATTAATCCCCTGCTTCCAATGTGAAAGCACAGACTAAGGCGGCAAACTTGAAATCTACAAGGTTTGCAGAGGTGTGCAGAAGTCCCCAGTTTCCCCAGTGGAGCTGAGGTATAAGCGGGGTTGGTGTTCAGGGAGAGGGTCCTATTTCGCTTCAGACCTTGTACCTTCTAAGTGTATGGTGAAATACAAGGCATCACACTGGGGAATCACAGTTGGTTTTTCCCAGATGAGATCTCCACATCCCTGAGTGTTTTCACTGTATAGTAAGCTTGTGTGCCCCATAGTTAATCTAACCTCAATACTTGGGATTACGGTTTTGAAAGTTCAATAAGGGGATCGAAGAGAGAATGGTCCTAATACTAGAATCTGAACTCCATATGGCTTTAGCCGCTACATGTATGTCAGGAAGGATGTATCCTTTTATCCAGAGAATTGTTCCAGATGTAGTTGTCCATTACTGATTCCCTCAACCATCCATCTCCACACCCAACCATTCACTTTCCACTCATTTAGAAAACCTATGTTTATCTTACTTGTGACCTGCAAGATACCACACATTTCTTGTCTCAAAATGAAACTTTCTGATGAAATGCTGCTCCTTTTAGGAAGTCTGAGGGAAGTGGTCCACTCCCACCAATCCCTTTTTTTTTTAACCAGGACATTGCCAACAAATTTGCAACATAGTCTGGACCATCTTCTTTTTCCACTACATGCTGACATGTGTGTCCTGTTCCTATCCCTGTCCCAACTCCCCCTCCCACACACACACTTGATTGAAAGCTCTTTACTTCAGGGAGCAGGTCTCCCATTTACATGACCTATGCTTCCCCAATCCCTGCCATGTAGGTATACACCACTCCACTGAAAAAACAGCAAGCACCTTAACCCAACCAGGAGACAGAAAGTGTTGTAAACGTATGGGCAGGGCACCTGCAGCAAAGAAGGAAGTACCTTTCTCTGAAGGGAGGAGAGAACTTCCACTTTGACTATGACCTTGTCTAAATAAGATCGGAGTTGGCGAACTCAAGGGGCTTCCATAGCCTTGGCAGTTCATGACAAGAGCCTCAGGTGATTGCTGACGTCATAAATAAGAGTGTTGTTGTTAAATCAACAACAGGATTCACTGTGCTCCTACTCCCCATGTAGGATCTCTGTCCTTAATGTGTGGTACTATGCGAATTAACGGTATAACTAGTACTCAAACAGTACTTTATACTTTGTGTTTCTGTGTGGGTGCAAATTGTTGAAATCTTTACTTAGTATATACTAAATTGATCTTCTGTATATAAAGATAATTGAAAATGAATCTTGATGTGAATGAGATGGGAGAGGGAGAGGGAGAGGGAGATGGGATGGTTGCGGGTGGAAGGAAGGTTATGGGGGGAAAAAGCCTCTATAATCCAAAAGTAGTACCTTGGAAATTTATATTTATTAAATAAAAGTTAAAAAATAAAAAAAGAGCTACAGCAGGCTGAAAAAGAATCAGGTGAGGGGAGTAGTGGTTGCAGATAGCCTGGTCTCCCATATTTTTAGAGTTTTTGTAGACAGAGTTCTGACAAAAATTCATTGTTTCATTACCTAGAATATTCACGTGTAGCACAGATTACTGTCCTCATATCAGCTATTGAGATTTTTTTTCCCACTTCTACCTCCTGTTGTTATGTCTGGCCCCACTGGAAGCTACCTGTCAATTGTGACTAAAACATTTTTCTACTATAGACTGTTCTGTAGTTTAATTTCATTAAAGTTTTGCTAAAAATAATTTTTGTGACAGTGGAGTTTAGCCTCTTGGAGTCACAGATCTTTGCAAAACTGTGATGAACAATCTAGAATGATATGTATAAAAACACTGCATACAAGGCACAAGTCCCATAAATCCTATCTATGAGCCACAGGCTAATTCATTGCTTTATGAGGAAATCAGCAGGTATAAATGAAGTTCAAAAATGTACATAGGCTCTTCAGAAACTTGTGGGAAATGGAATTAAAAGATTTTGGTGCAAAGATATTTTGAAATCCATGTGTAGTTTTTCCATAGTACACATTTTAATGAACTTCTTGAACAAACTTTGTATATGCGTACTTCAATTTTTTTTGTACGAAAATAAACATCTTTTAATTCCATTTTCCCTGAACTTTTGAAGTCACCTCATATATATATAAAACCTTGCTCAAGGATTTATTTTGGTGTTGGGAACTTGAATTTCAGGATCCTGTGACTTCAATACAGAACATTTCCACAGCAATAGGCTCCCAACTGAATCCCAGTGTGCACATCTGACTCATCTAGATGACTTTCTAAAGACATCATGCTCAGGCCTAATTCTGGATCAGTTTAATCAGCTGCTGAGTGATGCTCCAGCAGAGGGGTGTGTAACAGTTCCTCCAGGTGATTCTGACAAAGTTGAGAATGACTGCTGAATCTAGACTCTTGGCCTGGGTGCTTATGTAACTTTCAGGCTAAGATCTGAAAAAACATGAGACCCCAAAGAGCTGCAATGTGAAATTGAATCAGATGTTTATTTTATGTCTCCCTCTACATCCCTTCTGAACCATGATGAAAGCTTTCTGTACCAAAGAATTTAAATAAATATGAAGAAATTAAGCATTAGTCCTCCAGTACTACTTGACCCTTCAGAAATGAATTTCCAAACAAATCCATTCATGCTAGAAATATGGCTTGCTAAAAATACATACTGGATGTGATTCAAGCGCATGTTTCAACAGGAGATCCCCAAATAGATCTTCGCAATATTTGGACATCTTGTACTGTTGATATTTGCTGGAGAGAAAGAAGTGGCATTTGTAAATTGAAACATCCATTAACTGCCCAAGACTGAAAAAAAAAATACCCATTACTAGACAATTAAAGATCCCACTCTGCAAAATATAAGGGAACATCAAAATGTTTATGGAAAAGTGGAATTAAGTTAAATTTATTTTGGTGCACCACAACTTGGAAATCCATGCATAATGTTTCAGAATCGGCATTTTTCCTGAACATTTTGAACACCTCCTGTACACATGGAAATAGAATTTTTTTCACCAAAACAAAATCTTTAATTTCATTTCTCATGAACTTTTTGAACTACATTCCTATATGACTGTCCTAAAGTTGACATCAGATGTACTTTTAAATATCACAAGTTTCGTGTGATTTTAAAAGAAGTAGATTCCACACCCACACTGAGAGCTGGTAAGAAGAATAAACAATGATTTCAAGCTAATGAAGTCTGATTTCAAATAGAATAATACTGCTAAGTCATCTAGCTCCATGGAACTCTAAGCAAGGTGTCCCAGTTTCTGAGCTCTGTTTCCAGCAACGGTTTCTTTCTTTTTTTTTGACAGGCAGAGTGGACAGTGAGAGAGAGAGACAGAGAGAAAGGTCTTCCTTTGCCATTGGTTCACTCTCCAATGGCCGCCGCGCTGCGGCCAGTGCACCACGCTGATCCGATGGCAGGAGCCAGGTACTTATCCTGGTCTCCCATGGGGTGCAGGGCCCAAGTACTTGGGCCATCCTCCACTGCACTCCCTGGTCACAGCAGAGAGCTGGCCTGGAAGAGGGGCAACCGGGAAAGAATCCGGTGCCCTGACCGGGACTAGAACCCGGTGTGCCAGCGCCTCAAGGCGGAGGATTAGCCTAGTGAGCCCCGGCGCCGGCCCCAGCAAGGGTTTCTAAAACACATTAAGACAACTTGGTATTTTTCGGAGGGGACTTTTTTTTTTTTCTGGTTTTTTGATTCCCACCTCTATCCTACCCACATATGACTGTAGGTCCTTCCTAGAGGATGGCTGGTACTTAGCACCTCACTAAACAAACTGTTTAGTTATTTTAAAAAAATTTAGCACGGGAGTGGGGAGTGGGAGTTGGGGGAACAAAACCACTAAGGTAGAATGAATCATTATACCTGCAGTGATTTTCAAAGGAGAGAATTACAGGATATTCAGATGTGACAAATGCAGTTTCCTTGATGGCTTGAATTACATCCTTTAAAGATAAAAGAGTGTTAATGAAAGAACAATAAGATAATCAGAGGCTACTAACAGATCCTTTCAGAAAGTCAGTTTCTGCAATCCAGACCTGGAGAACCCATGAACCTTATAACCCCCTCACCTTGACTCCCCTGTACTTAGAACCAAGGTACAATTAACAGCTAATTACATTTTTTTTCAAAGACAGCTTTTACTTTTTCAAAGTTATGCTGCTATTAGATTATTCATCTAACTCCCATGGCAGTTACTTTCCCAATAATCCAAGGATTCAGGGCTCACTTTTCTCCTTGAGAAGCAGGCAAGCTTTTGGTCCAATGACTTACACTACAGACCACTCTTCAACTCCTCCCACCTGGAGAAATGTGTTTGTCATAAACTCAGAATTGGCACAAGTTTTATTGACTGTCTTCCATGTTTGAGAATCAGTTTTGGGCTACATTTAATTAATGTGACACAGATCCCTGGGTACTGATGCGACACTTGTAATACCACTTGTGTTATATTAGCCTATGGAAGAGCAGATGGCACAGGAGGGGATTGTCCTTGGTTACGTGACATGTGAGGTAAAACAGGGGAGTGCTGTGGTTGCCCTGACTGTAACACAGACTGTAGTCCCTTGAAACAACTTTTCAGTGAGCTGAATGTAGCCCCTACCTAACCTCAGCTACTCTATGAAAAAATTGCTGGACTTAGAGATAGTTTGTATTAGTCTCTGTTTAGCTTTGGAAAGAGGCTTTGATCCAACACTTTCATAATTCCCAAATTCTTACTGATTTGGAGCTAATCATGAAGCCAAGTCCTTACACCCTAATGGGTCCTTGGCTTGCAGTTCCTCTTCTAAGATTAAAAACAGAATCCAGACCCTGAATCATAAAGACTTGATAAAATTGTACCAACAGTTAAGACAGGTCACATCTAAAAGCTAGCTTCTATTTGGAGAGTTTGCAGCAACTCATTGGTGCTAATCAAACAAATATTCAGTCTATCCTCAGACCCAGACAGACTGAAGCCTACTTTTGCCAGTCCAAAGGAAACTCACTGGCCCTCATCCCCATCACTGACCACCTGCTCTGTGGACCAACCAGAAGGCAAAATATAAGCTGATTACATGCAGCTCATCCCCAGCTTTGAACTGCAAGATTCATTGTCTTTTCTTTTCTTTTCTTTTTTTTTTTTTCTTTGGACAGGCAGAGTGGACAGTGAGAGAGAGAGAGACAGAGAGAAAGGTCTTCCTTTGCCATTGGTTCACCCTCCAATGGCTGCCGTGGCCAGCGTGCTGCGACCGGCACACCACACTGATCCGAAGGCAGGAGCCAGGTGCTTATCCTGGTCTCCCACGGGGTGCAGGGCCCAAGCACTTGGGCCATCCTCCACTGCACTCCCTGGCCATAGCAGAGAGCTGGCCTGGAAGAGGGGCAACCAGGACAGAATCTGGCACCCCGACCGGGACTAGAACCTGGTGTGCCGGCGCCGCTAGGTGGAGGATTAGCCTATTGAGCCACGGCGCCGGCCGATTCATTATCTTTAATCCCTTGAAGAGTCTGGGTATTGAGGGAATTGAGCATTAGCTGCCTGAATCTTTGCTTTGTGCTTTGCAGTAGACACCTCATTTCTTCCAGCACCCTGGTGTCTGTGACTGGCTTGCTGGTGTCGGGTAAGTGGACCCAGCTTTGAGGTTCTATAGCAACTCCTGCAACCAGTTTTAGGGGTTTTCAGTAACAACCACAGCACAAGTCACATTACTCAATGAAACTCAATATTTTACAATAGTTATCTAGGGAAGTTTATTTGAAGGATAATGGCCAAGGTTAGATAATCTTGGAATTTTTTATTGAGACATCCTTAGAGATGATGTGGTTATTTAGTTATTCTTGAGGAAGGTAGTTCTCAGGTAAAAATGATTGTGACCTTTTATTGCCCATCTGAATTACACAAGAATTACTCTGAGTGAAAATTCGGCTCTGCCCTTATTTTCTTCCTCATCTCACTGCAACCTGAATGACCCTCCTTTTCCATTATACATCCTCATTAGGCTACTTAATTCTCTAAGAATGGATATCACCTTTCCTGTCAGTTTGGCTGGCTGTGTAAATTCATGGCTTCCCACTGGAATTATACTCTTGATACTTCTCAGGAAGCACAATCTTGAATCCACCGCTGGTCAAAATTCATCAATATCTTGACTAAGAGAAATGACATGCATAGAATATCCTGGGAATGGGGCATAGGCACCTGTTTTAGAAAATACCCCTGGTGGTTTCTATTCAAGGGTGTAGGTGAAACCTATTGCCCCAGATGTTGTAGTATCTATTCTGAGTTACATCAAATCATTGGAGTATTGGCCAGCCACATAATTTCATTTTTTTTGACTCATCTTTTGGTAGTTGCTATGGTTTAAGTATGTCTTAAACTATGGTTTAAGTGTGTCTCTCAAGAGTTCTGATGTTGAAGTTTGAGCCACATTGTGAGGTAGGAAGAGGGTGGAAACTTCTGATTATTGTGTTTAGAGTGGGGTCTTTGGGAGGTGGTGAAGGGTCTAATACCCATCGTGGGATATTTAGAGGGTGAAAACTTCACTGACTATAACACATAAGAAGTTGGAGCACTAGGAGTTTATGAGGATTAGACAAGATCATCAGGGTTGAACTCTCATGATTGAATACTGCTGGAGAGAGGTAGAGAGAGAGAGAGAGAGAGAGAGAGAGACTACTAGTATACACATAGGTGTTCCATGCTTTCCCATGTGATGCCCTGTGTTGCATCTAGTATTTCTTTATACTAACAGAGAGTAGATTAATATGGCAGAATATCATGGGCACATTGAGACACACTAAGAAACCGGCTTTCAGACCACACATTGAGATCACCAAAAGGCCATTACCAAGATGTATGTTTGTGAAACTACAGAAACCCCTCTGAGGATCCTCAAAAAATTTCTCACTGGTGATAACTCTATGTCTCTTATATGGGTCCTGTGAAGTTTCTCTCCTTACCCCTAGTTCTAGAAAATTTGGAGCCCAATTTGCAGTCTAACATACATCTATAGGATTTACTGACAAGCATTCATAAATTCAAGCCTCATTATCTAATTCCCTTATTCTTCTTGGTCCTATTTATAATCTATTTTTCCTGCATTCTATTTGTCTTTTTATGACACTTTGATGAGTTCAGAAATAATGCAAACTTAGTAAGCAAATAAGTAGATGAAAACATAAAAGATTTCTTAAGGAAGTAAAACTAGGTAGATCTGTCAAAGACGCCTCATTAGGTAGCACAGTCACCATTTGAAAGCAGGTAAAATATAGCATGAAGAGATACGAAGTAGGAAAACCATTTGTCTTGACTATCTCCTCAAAACTGGAAGAAAAGCACATAAAGGTATAATGCTTGAGAAAATGAGTAATTTGTTTTCTTCTCTCCATCTCTCCATTGCCTTAATTTTCATAGTAGTTGGAAAAGCTTTGACTGTGTCAATTTAAAACTTACCTTAAAAAGGATATCTGTGCACATTGCTTTTCCATGAGTTATTATAGGTTCTTGGTCTTCACCTTTTCCATCCCAACAGTCTAGTTCAACACATCTAGGAGCAAAGTGAAAAAGGTAACACTGAATCCTTACAACAAAACAGTGTATGTACAAAGTAAAAGAAAGACTTCAAAATAAGTTGATTTCTTACAGAATAGATGATAGATTGAAGTAACATGATTATTTCATGGCACATGCATACAGGTTAAAACCACATTACAGGCAGGCGCCGCGGCTCAATAGGCTAATCCTCCTGCGGCGCCGGCACACCGGGTTCTAGTTCAAGTCAGGGCACCGGATTCTGTCCCAGTTGCCCCTCTTCCAGGCCAGCTCTCTGCTGTGGCCAGGGAGTGCAGTGGAGGATGGCCCACGTCCTTGGGCCCTGCACCCGCACGGGAGACCAGGAGAAGCACCTGGCTCCTGGCTTTGGATCAGCGTGGTGCGGCGGCCGTAGCGCACCAGCCGCGGCGGCCAATGGAGGGTGAACCAATGGCAAAGGAAGACCTTTCTCTCTGTCTGTCTCTCTCTCACTGTCCACTCTGCCTGTCAAAAAAAAAAAAAAAAAAAAAAAAAAAAAAAAAAAAGAAAGAAAAAAAAAAGAAAGAAAAAAAAAAAGAAAGAAAAAGAAAAAAAAAAGAAAGAAAAGAAAAAAAACACATTACATTACTCATCTACTGGTGTGATCCAAAGTGGACTGAGTTGTATAAAAAGAGAAATTTGATACATCTAACAAGTAGTATGATCCTGGTTAAAATCCTACAGATGACAAAGCTGTGACCTTATTTTACTAAATTTGTACATACGAAATATATGAAACTTGTATAACTTAAATAAAGTTAAAAAAAATTCAATTTGGTCAAAACTGGGCAAATTTGAATATGGGCTAGGTTTTATATGTTAAAAATTATTTTTCTGAGGCTGGTGCTGTGGCATAACAGGTAAAGCTGCTGCCTGCAGTGCTGGTAATCCATATGGGCACCAGTTCGAGTTTTGGCTGCTCCACTTCCATTCCAGCTCTCTGCTATGGCCTGGAAAAGCAGTGGAAAAGGCCCAAGTCCTTGGGCCCCTGCATCCATGTGGGAGACCCAGAAGAAGCTCTTGCCTCCTGGCTTCGGAATGGCTTAGCTCCAGCTGTTGTGGCCATCTGAAGTCTTCCATGGATGAAAGACTTCTCTGTCTCTCTCTCTCTCTGTGGCTGCCTCTCTGAAACAATGACTTTCAAGTAAATAAACAAAATCTTAAAAAAATTATTTTTTAAAAATTTTGGTCAATAGAATAATGTTACCTTGGCCATATTGGAAAATATTTTTGTTTTAGTAATTTATACTGAAATATGACGGTACTTCCAAAACTTCATGGAAATATGGAATTAAAAGAATTTTATTTTGGTGCAAAAATATTGAAATTCATAAAATCTTTTTTTTTTTTTTACAAATGAACCTTTTTAATATCCCTCATACAAACAGTATGAATGGCAGCAGTGATGTAGCTAATTGGGAGTTTTAAAAAAATAGAGTATTGCTGGGCCGGCGCCTCAGCTCACTAGGCTAATCCTCCGCCTTGCAGCGCCGGCACACCGGGTTCTAGTCCCGGTCGGGGTGCCAGATTCTTTCCCGGTTGCCCCTCTTCCAGGCCAGCTCTCTGATGTGGCCAGGAAGTGCAGTGGAGATTGGCCCAAGTGCTTGGGCCCTGCACACCATGGGAGACCAGGATAAGTACCTGGCTACTGCCATCGGATCAGCGTGGTGTGCCGGCCGCAGCATACCAGCCGCGGCGGCCATTGGAGGGTGAACCAATGGCAAAGGAAGACCTTTCTCTCTGTCTCTCTCTCTCTCACTGTCCACTCTGTCTGTCAAAAAAAAAATAGAGTATTGCTGAAATGATAAGAAAAAAAATGATGTAGCTACATTTCCTATTTTTCACTTTCAACATTTTAAATCTCATATATTTGCCAGTCTCTGTAAAAAGAAAACCATTTTCAAGTTTTTGAACTTTTAACATTAAAAAAAGCTAAATTTGTGAGTACCTATAACCAATAATAAACTTAACAGAACTTCTTAAAATACATGCTATCTCTTTTGCAATTTTTTTTACAGGGAGGAAAAAGAATTTGCCCTATTTTCATTGAAATTAAATTGAATATAACAAAATTGAATACAATGTCACTGCAATCTATGCCTTCACACAGTTCTTTTTTTCCCCCAAAGAAACCATAAGTACAAATTTTATAAGTACAACTTCAGGAATATAGTCATTCTTCCCATTATACCCACCCTCTTACCCCACCTCCTCCTCCCTCTCCCATTCCCAGTCCGATTCTCCATTAAGAAAAAAAAAAAAAACAACACAACTATTCCTTGACAGTCAAGATAAGGGTCACTGCTTCTCAAAGTGTCAATTTCACTTCTACATCTTTCTTTAGTTACCACAGACCAGGGAGAACATATGGTATTTATTCCTTTGGGGCTGGCTTGTTTCACTAAGTATGATGTTTTCCAGATTCATCATTTTGTTGCAAATGAACAGATTTCATTTTATTTACTGCTGTATAGAATACATATCCCAAAATTCTTTAACCAGTCTTCAGTTGACAGCATTTAGGCTGATTCCATGTCTCAGCTATTGTGAATTGAGCTGCAATAAATATGGGAGTTCAGATAACTGTTTTATTTGCTGATTTCATTTCCCTTGGGTAAATTCCAAGGAGTGGGATGGCTGGATCATATGGTAGGTCTACATTCAGATTTCTTTTTTTTTAATATTCATTTATGTATTTGAAAGTAAGAGTTACATAGAGAGAGGAGAGAGGGAGATTGAGAGAGAAAGAGTCTTCCATCCATTGGTTCACTCCCCAATTGGCCACAATGGCTGGAGGTGCACTGATCCGAAACCAGGAGCTTCTGGGTTTCCCATGCGGGTGCAGGGGCCCAAGGACCTGGGCTTTCCCAGGCCTGGGCTTCCCCAGGCCACAGCAGAGTTGGATTGGAAGTGGAGCAGCTGGGTATTAAACCAGTGCCCATATGGGATGCTGGCACTTCAGGCCAGGGTGTTAACCCGCTGTGCCACAGCACTGGCCCCTATATTCAGATTTCTGAGGTATCTCCAAACTGATTTCCATAGTGGTTTTACCAGTTTACATTCCCACCAACTGTGGATTAAGGTACCTTTTCTCCAATATCCTCACCAGAACTTGCTGTTTGTTGATTTCTGTTGAAAGCCATTCTAACTGGGGTGAGGTGAAACCTCATTGTGGTTTTGATTTGCATTTCCCTGATGGCTAGTGATCCTAAGCATTTTTTCACGTGACTGCTAGTCATCTGGGTTGCCTCTTTTGAAAAATGTCTATTTAAGTCCTTGGCCCATTTCTTACCTGGGTTGTCTATATTGCTGTTGTTGAGTTTCTTGATCTCTTTATATATTCTTCTTTATTAATACCTTATAGTTGCATTGTTTGCAAATAATTTCTCCCATTCTGTCAGTTGCCTCTTCACTTTTCTGAGTGCTTCTTTTGCAGTACAGAAGCTTCTCAATTTGATGTTATCCCATTTGTTAATGTTGACTTTGATTTCCTGTGCCTCAGGAACATTTTGAATGGATTTCCACGTAAGGTGTAAATAGGGTTCCTGCTTCATACTTCTGCAGGTGGAAATCCAGTTTTCCCAGAACCATTTGTTGAAGAGACTGTCCTTGCTACAGCGATTGGTTTTAGCTCTTTGGTCAAATAAAAGTTGGTTGTAAATCCTGGATTGATTTCTGGCATTTCTATTCTGTTGCATTGGTCTATCAATCTGTTTTTGTATCAGTACCAGGCTGTTTTGATTATAACTGCCTTGTAGTATGTCTTGAAATTTGGTATTGTGATGCCTCTGAATTTGTTTTTATTGTGTAAGATTGATTTAGTTCGAGGTCTCCTGTGTTTCAATATGAGTTTCAGCATCATTTTCTCTAGATCTGAGAAAAATGTCATTGGTATTTTGATTGGTATTGCACTGAATCAGTAAATTGCTTTCAGAATAATGGACATTTTTATGATATTTATTCTTCCAACCATGAACATGGAAGATTTTTCCATTTTTGTATCTTCTTCTATTTCTTTCTTTAATGTCTTGTAATTCTCATCATAGAGATCTTTGACATCCTTGGTTAAATTTATTTCAAGGTACTTGATTTTTTTGGTAGCTATTCTGAATGAGATCAATCTTAGAAGTTCTTTTTCAGCCATGGCATTGTCTATGCATACAAAGGCTGTTGATTTTTGTGTATTGATTTTATATCCTGCTACTTTACCAAACTCTTCTATGAGTTCCTATCGTCTCCTGGAGGAGTCTTTTGGATCCCCTATATATAGAATCATGCCATCTGCAAATAGGGATAGATTCACTTCTCATTCCTGATTTGAATCTCTTTGATTTCTTTTTCTTTTCTAATGGCTCTGGTTAAAACTCCTAGGACTATAGTGAATACCAATAGTGAAATTGGGCATCCTTGTCTGGTTCCAGATCTCAGTAAGAAAGCTTCCAATTTTCCTCCTTTAATAGGATACTGGCCATGGTTTGTCATAAATTGCCTTGATTGTGTTGAGGAACATTCCTTCAAAACCCAGTTTGCTTAGAATTTTCAATCATGAATAGGTGTTGTATTTTATCAAATGCTTTCATTGAATCTATTGAGATAATCAAATGCTTTTTATTCTTCAGTTTGTTAATGTGATGTATCACATTGATTGATTTGTGAATGTTGAGCCATCCTTACATACCAGGGATAAATCTCACTTGGTCCAGATGAATATTTCTGATATGTTGTTGGATTCAAATGGCTAGAATTTTGTTGAGGATTTCTGCATCTATATTCATCAGGGAAACTGGTCTGTAGTTCTTTTTCTGTTGTATCTTTTTCAGGTTTAGGAATTAAGGTGATTCTAGCTTCATAGAAAGCATCTGGGAGGATTCTCTCCCTTTCAACTGTTTTGAATAACCCGAGAAGAATTGGAGTTAGTTCTTTAAATGTCTGGTAGAATTTGGCAGTGAAGCCCTCTGGTCCTGGGCTTTTCTTTGTTGGGGAGGGGGGTGTCTTTATTACTGATTCAATTTCTGTTGTGGTCATGGGTCTGTTTAAGTTTTCTGTGTCTTAATGGCTCAATTTAGATAGGTTTTATGTGTCCAGGAATCTATCCATTTCTTCTAGGTTTCCCAGTTTTTTGGCATACAGCCTTTTATAGTTATTTCTGATGATTCTTTTTTATTTCTGTGGTGTCTGTTGTTACATTTCCTTTTTCATCTCTAATTTTATTGATTTGGGTCTTCTCTCTTGTGTTTTTGGTTAGTTGTGTCAATGATGTGTCAATTTTTTTTATTTTTTCAAAAACCAGCTTTTTATTTTGCTTATCTTTTGTATTTTTTTGTTTCTATTTTGTCGATTCTTCTCTAATTTCTTTTCTCCTACTAGCTTTGGGTTTGGTTTCCTGTTGTTTTTCTAGATCTTTGAGATGCATTGATATCTCATTTTAGGTGCCTTTCCAACTTCTTGACATAGGCACCAATTGCTATAAACTTTCCTCTTAACACTGCTTTTGCTGTATCCCATAAGTTTTGATACACTGTATGTCATCTTAATTTGTTTCCAGAAAATTTTTTTTCTCTTTTGATTTCTTCTATGACCCACTGTACATTCAGGAGCATGTTGTTCAGTCTCCATGTGTTTGCTTATGTTCTAGTGATTCCTGAGTTGCTGATTTCCAGCTTCACTCCTCTGTGGTCTGGGAAGATGCATGGTATGATTTTGATTTTTTTGAATTTTCTAAGACTTGTTTTATAGCCTAGCATGTGGTCAATCCTAGATAAGGTTCTATGTTCAGGTGAGAACAATGTGTATTCTGCAACTGTAGCATGAAAAGTTCTGTAGATATCTGTTGGTCTATAGTGTCAATTACCTCTGCTGTTTTCTTGCTGATTTTCTGTCTGGTTAATCTGTTCATTGCTGAAAGTGGGGTATTGAAGTCCCCCATAACTATTTTTTTAAAAGATTTATTTATTTATTTGAAAGTCAGAGTTACACAGAGAGAGGAGAGGCAGAGAGAGAGAGAGAGAGAGGAAGAGAGAGTGAGAGAGAGAGAGGTCTTCTATCTGATGGTTCACTCCCCAGTTGGCCGCACATCCAGAGCTGTGCCGATCTGAAGCCAGGAGCCAGGAGCTTCTTCTGGGTCTCCCACGTGGGTGCAGAGGCCCAAGAATTGGGGCCAATTTCTACTACTTTCCCAGGTCATAGCAGAGAGCTGGATGGGAAGTGGAGCATCTGGGTCTAGAACTGGTGCCCATATGGGATGCTGGCACTTCAGGCCAGGGCATTAACCCACTGCGCCACAGCACCGCTCCCCCACTATTACTATTGTATTTGAGTCTATGTCTCCCTTTAGATTCCTCAACATTTCTTTTAAATAGCCAAGTGCCCTGTAATTAGGTGCATATATGTTTACAATAGTCACATCTTCCTGTTGAATTGATCCCTTAAACATTATGTAGTATCATTCGTTGTCTCTTTTAACAGTTTTTGTGTTAAAGTTTATTTTGTCTGATATTAGTATGGCTACACCAGTTCTTTTTTGGTTTCTGTTAGCATGGAGCATCTTTTTCCATCCTTTCACTTTCAGTCTGTGTGCATCTTTGTTGGTGAGATGTGTTTCTTGTAGGCAGCAAATAGATGGGTTTTGTTTTTTTAATCCATTCAGCCAGTCTGTGTCTTTTATCTGTGTCTTTTAAGGCCATTTACATTCAACGTGACTATTGATAAGTAATGACTTTGCCCTGCTATTTTTCCATAAATATTCCTACTGTTAACTTTGGATTTTCTTTGTACTTTTAGTGGAAGATTTTCTGCCTTCACCTTTTTTTTTTTTTGTAGTGATGATCATGCGTCTGTGTTTTTGTGTGCAGCACATCCTTAAGCATCTTCTGCTGGGCTGGATGAGTGGTGACAAACGCTTTCAGATTCTCTTTGTCATGGAAGGTCTTTATTTCACTTTCATTCATAAGTGAGAGCTTATATATATGTTGGGTCATTTGATAGTATCCTGTAGATTCCCAACAGTGTTTTACAGTTTTCTACTTTCTTCTTCTTGTGTTTGGTCTGACTGTCTATTTTCCTGTGTTGTGTCTTCTAAGTTGGATATTCTTTCTTCTGCTTCACCAATTCTGATGTTAAGGCTTTCCACTGTATTTTTATTTGTTCTACTGAATTCTTCATTTCCAAGACTTCATTTTGATTTCTCTTTAAGATCTCAATTTCATGGGAGAAATTTCCTTTCATGTCATGTATGGATTTCATTAGTTTGTGTATTTGTTCTGATTACTTCTTATTATATTATATTATATTATATTATATTATTTATTTGACAGATAGAGTTAGTGAGAGAGAGACAGAGAGAAAGTTCTTCCTTCTGTTGGTTCACCCCTGAAATAGCAGCCGGCGCTGCGCCAATGCAAAGCCAGGAGCCAGGTGCTCCTTCCTTGTCTTCCTTGCAGGTGCAGGGACCCAAACACTTGGGCCATCTTCCACTGCCTTCCCGGGCCACAGCAGAGAGCTGGACTGGAAGAGGAGCAACCGGGACTAGAACCCAGCACCCACATGGGATGCTGGCGCCAGAGGCAGAGGATTAACCAAGTGAGTCACATTGACAACCCTCTGTTCTGATTACTTCTAAGTAATTCTACCATCAGTTTTTTTAATTCCATTTCTGGTGTTTCTTCAGTCTCATCATCTTCACAATCTAGAATTGAGGTGTTGTGTTCTTTTGGGGATGTCATGTTGTCTTCCTTGTTCCTGCTTCTTGGTTTGGTGCGTATGTCATCTGCATTTGTGGGGATACTCATTGGTTTCTTCTTTGATTTTTCACTGTGGTGTCTTTTATCTTTGGACTATGTCTGATTGGATTAGTGGAGTGTGTTTTCAGGGAGTACCTAGAGGCGTGTCATAGGAGTGGCCAGGGAGCTCTGTTCAGTGCTCCAGGATGAATGTTGTGTCTGTGGTGACACACCCAAGTTTGGTGTGGTAAATCTAAAATTTTTTTTTTTTTTTTAATCAGAGGGGAGGTTTCTTCCTGTCTGATGGCATAGACTCAGCTAAGTTCCTTTCTTTGAAGGAGACCAGTGCCTGGGCGCTAGCCCCAGTAAGTATAACTTTTGTCCCCTCTGCCACAAGGACCACACAAAGGATCTGTACAGTCCTTAGTATAAGCTCAGATTCCCCAGCAATGTTTCTCGCCAAGTAACCAGGCAGCCCTGACTGTGTGGAGTCTCTCACAGTGATTGCCCAGTGTCCCAGCCACACCCTGAGTCCTCCTATGCAGCTTCACTGCTTTCACAGTCCTGGTATACAAACCTTTCACAGTCACAAGCACCCAGCCCCCTGTCATTCTTCCTACCTGACTCAGGAGTCTCTGCTTGGCTGGTTGCTTGGCATGGACATGAGCTGGTGCAGCTGTCAAGTATGTCTAAAATGAGGCCTGCTCTCTGTCAGCTTGTTACAGGACACCTTTGCAGGATGACCCAGGAGAAATGTGCCCTCGCCCTGTGTATTTTCTCTTTTATTTTGGCAGGTACACTATCCCCCACGGGGCTCCAAGCCGGATTCCCTCTAGGCTCTTCTTGTAGCTTTTTTTGCCAGTGGCTTCTTGTGCTGCTGCAGTCTGGTCTCACCCTGCTCTCCAATGCTAGTGCAGATGCTCTCAGCTGATGGGTCCTAAGTTGAGCATGTCTTTGCCCTCTCCGTAGGCCCACTGTATTCCTCCAATTTATGTCGTTTTCTCTGCTGGTCTCTAACTTTTCCGAGACTGTGCTCTTTCTACTTTTTTAAAACCGTCTTCTAGACTCGAGTAGCAAGCTCCCTCCCTACTCCACCATCTTCATCCAATTCCCCCTCTTTTGCAATTTTGGAGGCATATTTCAAATTTATAGTAAAAAACACATCTTTTGACCCACAGGACGTTCATGGAAAAGATAGTGTCCTTCCTTTCTTACAATTAAATGATCATAATAATTCACTGAAGAGAAGCATAAATATCCTTTGTACTCTAATTACTATTAAACATTTTTCAAAGAAAAACAAATTGCAGTGGTTTCCCCTTATCTAGAGTTTTGCTTTCCATGGATTTAGTTACGGTCAACCACAGTCTGAAAATCTTAAACAGAAAGTTCCAGAAATAAACAATTAATTAGTTTTAAATTTCATACCATTCTGCTACCATGATGAAATCTCATGCTGTTCTGATCTGTCCTGACTGCAACATGAAACTTCCCTTTATCCAGCACATTCACATTGTATATACTACTTCCAGTTAGTTACTTAACATTCACAGTCACTAGCAGATAAACTATATATTACAGTGCTTTAGTTTAAGTGACCCTTATTTTACTTAAAGCATTAATGGTTCTATTTTATTACTACTTGTCATTAATCACTTTCTGTGAGCAATTTATAAGACAAACTTTATCATATGTTTGTGTGTGTAGAATAAAACATACTACATAGAATTCAGAAATATTCTGCTTCAGATATCTACTGGATGGGTCCTAAAACATGTGCTGAAAATAAGGGGTACCTACTGTAAATCCAAGGGCATTATACATAGAGAACAAATGGCCATCTTGAGTTTCTCACCTGCAACCAGCCAGGAGGACCTGTCTGTACATTTCTACTGAAGACTTTCCTCCAAACTGTCGGCCGGTGAGATAGGTATTGTGGGAAGAACTGATGAAGTAGTGAGCCAGGGGATGGTCCATTTCTTGGTAGAGTTCTAGACGATCTAGGAAGACTGGAGCATTTTCATCTGACATCAGATATCTGCAAAACCCATCACTTGATATGAGACCTAAGGGAAAAAGAACATCTTAGTAGCAGTTGTAGCACCAAAGGTCCATATCTCTTGTTTTATTCATTCATGGTAGCCAGGACAGATTAAACAGTAAGAACAAAAACATCTTCATAGTCTCTTTCCTAAGACCCTTTCACCATTCAGGACTTGAATGTAAGTATTGCATGGTTTAAGTTCCAGAGTGCATTTCACAATTATGTGGCATTCTCCTTTCACATCCATGGTGGCAGATGTACACTGCTCTCCCCCAACTCCCAAATTCAGAAACACAGTGCCAGGAGCTATGGAGACAAGAGGTCAAAGGAATCTTTACCTAGTTCCTGCTTCTGCCAATCACTCTGTAGGCAGCTGGGTCTCAGCTTCCTCTTCTGTTAAGCAGGGAAAACTACTGGCCCCACGTGCTTTCCAAAATTGTCATGAGTGGTAAACGAGAACGTATTTGAGAGGTGCTCTTTAATAAAATGGGAAATGCATTCATTGTAAGGCATTCTTGCTTTTACTGGATTGGAGAAGGGGTTTTTCTGGGAGATGGTGGGTTCTCTGAATGTAAACAATTTAATCTTCCTGTTCATCTAATGTCAGGGGCTGGGGCTTTGAGAAGAACACTCACGAAACATTCGTTTCAATCACACCTTTCTGACATGGGGCAGGACCCAGGTGGTAACCACAGGAGAGACAATAAATGTTTATGCATCTTCTCCTATGCAGCCTTCACTTTTTACTTTTTAATATAAACATTTGAAGGTTATGTACCAACTTCAGGTTTACAGAGGGGAACAGATGACAGCATAATAAATAACCTTGGACCTGAACCACAACTTGGACAGATCTTAACATTTGCTGAACTGCTTCACATTTTTATGGGGAACACATTATTACAAATGCCATTACCATTCCCTGTGTACTTCACCTCAATTTCATTTCTCTGCTGCCACGCAGATAGATAACCACCACCATAGTTTTCCTGTTTAACATTCCAAAAATGGTTCTGCAACTTTACTACACATGTACTTATCCAAACAATAGATCTATTCTAATGTTTTTTAATACACAGAAAAACTATCCCACTGTGTGCATTTGGAAATGGCTACTTTTATTTTTTTTGGAACTCATTCACTTACTTTTCACTGAATATATAGTAGCCCATATAAGAGTATACCATAATTTATTATCCATTATATAATATAGTAGATATTTAGGGCACTTCTAATTATAACTAGAAATAGAAACTTACATCCCTGCCTTGTTGGGCACTTTCCTTCATTCTAAGAGAAAGTACTTTTTTAGGCAATGGAATAGATGCAATGATAGAAGAAAACAGACAAATCCTGACTTCATACAACTCATACATAATGAATGAGAGAAACATAAAGTAGTGCACTATAATGTCATGAAAGTGCTAGAGGAAACAAAAAGCATTATGGAAGAATGATCTGTTGGCTATGTGGCCAATGAAATCCCTTTGAGGAAGCTGACACACATGAACAGGGATGAGCCACAAGCACACTGGTGGGACCCCCACTCCAGGCAAGTGCAAAGAACTTGGGGCAGGGCTATGTGTGCCAAGTTCATCCAACGACAGCAAGATGGAGGGAGTGATCAAGGAGAAAAGTTACTGGACATAAGGTTAGATGGGACGGCACAGGCTACATCTTTTGGGCTTTTGCCCTCACAAGATACTTTAATTCTAAGTGTGCTGGGGACCCTTTGGAAGGTTATAAAGAGAGGACTAATGGGGATGGAAGCAGTTTCTAAAGGTTTATTCTGGCTTCTGTGTGAGGCACAGCATTGAGTAGAAAGGAGAAGACAAGTTAGAAGTCAACTGGCATTGTATAGGGAGATGTTATAGGATTGGATGCCCTGGTATGGGTGGAAATTGTGAGAAGTAAGTTAGAATTTATTTTGAGGTTGCATATTGCAAGTTTTGCTGATAGGTTATATGTGGTTTGAATGAAATACAAAAGGATGATTCCAAGGGTTTTGCCTTGAAAATCTCAGTGAATAACAGTATCATTTTATAGGCTGGAAAAGGCACAGGTCGGGGGAGGGAACAGGTAGAATCAAATACAAATACAGGTAGAATTAAATACTTATATCCTGGAAATGCCCTTTCAATACCTGAATGGGAGTTCTACTACTGGTCTGTAGTTTAAGTTAGAAATTGTGATTACACAGTTGAATTTGAAAGTTGCATGCATAAGGAGAAACTTTAAGCCATGGACCTGCATGAGCTCATCTAAAGTGTGAACACAGATGGGGCAGAGGTCTAAGTTCTATGTCACTCGGACATTCAGAGTTTGCGAAATGTATGAGATTCTCCAGGGTACATTCACAGAGGAGTAACACCTGGGCTGTTTGAGAAGCATATTTTTGGGCCGGCGCCGTGGCTCACTAGGCTAATCCTCCGCCTTGTGGCGCCGGTACACCGGGTTCTAGTCCTGGTCAGGGCGCCAGATTCTGTCCCAGTTGCCCCTCTTCCAGGCCAGCTCTCTGCTGTGGCCAGGAAGTGCAGTGGAGATTGGCCCAAGTGCTTGGGCCCTGCACCCCATGGGAGACCAGGATAAGTACCTGGCTCCTGCCATCGGATCAGTGCGGTGCGCCGGCCGCAGCGTGCCAGCCGCAGGGGCCATTGGAGGGTGAACCAATGGCAAAGGAAGACCTTTCTCTCTGTCTCTCTCTCTCACTGTCCACTCTGCCTGTCAAAAAAATAAAAAAAAAAAAGAAGCATATTTTCTACTTTGTGAGCTATTGACAAAATAGCAAAGTTGTTGCACCTATTTTTTTTTTTTTTTATTTTTGACAGGCAGAGTGGACAGTGAGAGAGAGAGACAGAGAGAGAAAGGTCTTCCTTTGCCGTTGGTTCACCCTCCAATGGCCGCCGCTGCAGCCGGCGCACCGCGCTGATCCGATGGCAGGAGCCAGGATCCAAGTGCTTTTCCTGGTCTCCCATGGGGTGCAGGGCCCAAGCACCTGGGCCATCCTCCACTGCACTCCCTGGCCTTAGCAGAGAGCTGGCCTGGAAGAGGGGCAACCGGGACAGAATCCGGCGCCCCGACCGGGACTAGAACCCGGTGTGCCGGCGCCGCAAGGTGGAGGATTAGCCTATTGAGCCACGGCGCCGGCTCAAGTTGTTGCACCTATTTACATTCCCACCAAAATGTCTTTTGGGGCTGGTGTTGTGGTGGAGCAGGTAAAGCCACAGCCTGCAATGCTGGCATCCTATATGGGTGCTGGTTTGTATCCCAGCTGTTCCACTTCCAATCCAGCTTCCTGCTATTGGCTTGGGAAAAGCAGCAGAAGATGGCCCAAGTGTTTGGGCACTTGTCACCCACATGGGAGACCTGGATGAAGCTCCTGGCTCAGTCTTGCCCATTGCAGTCATCTGGGGAGTGAACCGGCTGATAGAAAATTTCTGTCTCTCTCTGTGTCTCTCCCTCTCTCTCTGTAACTCTAATTTTTGAATAAGTAAATATATCTTCTTTAAAAAATGCCTTTTATACCATATTCTCACCCACACTTGATAATTACAGATTTTTAAATGTCTGTCATTGTGAAATGGAGACACTACAATTTTAGATGGTTCAATGGTCATTGTTAGACTCCCACTTGAGAGGACTTTAGAAATAAACAAAGATATACTTCCATTATAACACTTATCACTCTGCTAAGAAGTTATTGAGCCACTTGCCTTTCCCCTTGAAAAAAATCACAACTACTTTCAAGGCAGTGCATCTCTTACTCAGTTGTGAATTCCCAGTATCTGCTACAGTGCTTGGCACTCAGCCCACAAAAGAAAGAAATTTGGGTGGAGAAATACCAACAAATGACTGCCTGAACTCCAGCAACTTGCAAGTATGGAAACTGAGGCCCAGGAAGCTATTTCCTTGCTCAGGGTCACAGTGTGACAAGGTAGAAATGAGAGTCACACAACACCTCCCATTACTGCAAAGTGCTAAGTTCTACAAACCTGACTATCCCTTTGCTTCAACCAAATCCAACATGGAAAAAATTATGAACTCAGGCTATTGGTAAGAGGTCAGTAATGAGGCATTCTGGCTGAAAATGGTTAACTGAGCCACTAGCATAAAGTTGAAATGTATGACTACAACCAGAGGAAAAGTCCATTGGACTTGGAACGAGTTCAGGAGTGAAGTTACAGGGTGTGGTAGGTCAGGAATACCTATAAAAGTTTCTGTGTGGGGCCAGAGAATGCATAATCTCTCAGCCATATTCACTGGCATCAGATACAACTGTTATTAAAAGAGGAGGAACCTGAGGCCTTGAGATTCATGAGCACATGGGACAGATAGAAATGATGCCTCACAATCTCCACAAAGGCGGGGGCTCTGGCTTAGGTACATCCAGAACTTGCCATACGGCTATGTTCACATGCCTCCCATGCTCAGCAGGTGTTTCCTGCCGCTATGACACAGAACCCATAAATCCTCCCCATGCCTTTCCTTTGACAAATATTTGGATGCTGCCTTGTTTCCAAAGTTTCACTGGACAGGGCAAAGATCGAGAAACGCCATAATTTGATAAAATCATTCCCAGCGACTTAAATTCACAAAAGTATATTTATCTTCCGTATCAGAAGTCAAAGAAAGCTAAGTGGCACAACAAATCATGTATTACTTTATTTGGGTTGGGAAAACAAAAGGGAGAAAATGAAGGTGTAAATTGTTAGATGATAGGAACACTTTTCATGGATTGCAGACAGAGACTAGATGCGGCATTTTTCATTTTAAGTAACAGGCAATGCTAAGAGCCAATATAAGAAGGTATATGGGGGAATATCACAATAATGTGCTTAATCACACAATAAAGTTAACAGGATACTTCAAATGGCATGAACTTATTCTGAAGAAAGGTAAAATTCACATTAACTTAAGAACAGGCCCCCCCCCCAAAAAAAAAAATCAGTCATCATCTTTGGTTTATGGGCATTCCAAAGCATGTATAGATACTTTCAATTAAAAATCTAAGGGCTTGAAATTTGGTAAATTTCTTGTTTCAAAGAAAAACATTATTTTTTTCTTTCTTTACCTTTTTTCTTCAAATCTTCATCAGGCTCATACATCTCAATGATCTGCATTGCCCTTTTAGCATCATAAAATGGAAATAAAATTTCATTCAGTCGAGGATCTCGTTGATGCTATGATGAGAAAATAATTTCATTTAGGTTGACATTTCTCCCCTTGAGGTATAACACATTACTAAGTATATAATTTCTAAAGCAACATAAATCTAGACTATCATGTTTATAATTACAAAGATGGGATTTCACTATCTTTCTGTTCTTTTCCCTAAAATAGGTTTCAAAAAGTCCAAATCTGGGAGTATTCTCTGATTCCCGTCATTGAACTATGGAAAGAGAAAAATTCATTTTTTTCCCTTCAAAAGCTGAAGGATGTATAGCAGAAGGTGTGTGTCCATTCCCGTCATTGAACTATGGAAAGAGAAAAATTCATTTTTTTCCCTTCAAAAGCTGAAGGATGTATAGCAGAAGGTGTGTGTCCATTGAATTGTTGTCTAATTTCCATATCATAGGGAACTCATTGGCATAAATGTCTATAAAATTAAAGCCAATGTATTTTTTAAAAAGACAAAAAATTAAAATAAATAGATAATACACTCATTTAAGTGCCAAAAAAGCTCCCAAACAATAACAACAAAAATACTATTAGACAATTAAACATCATTTTGATTTTGTCTTCCTACATTAATAAAATATTTCTTGGATGCTCTGAAAATTTAAATGTTTTACAAAAGGAACTAATTATAATTCTGAAATTTAATCAGCACAAGAATATTTATCAGCTATGAACAATATAAAAGTCTATATTTAAATATCAGCAGTTCAGAAACATCTTTTTTACTCTTGAATTTAATTTAGTCTTCCCTAATAAAATTCCTTGGGCTGAGATTATGGGAATGGCAAAAGCACAGGGGAGGCCAGGGACATCATCCTTTACAAATTGTCACCTCAGGTGCTGCTGGTACAACATGAGCACTGGGGCAAAGCTGTTCCTACAGAGGTGTTATCCTGACTTCAGACTAGTGGTGAAATGTCCATCTACTAGTTGACTCAGCTATGACACTGTGTGTGTCTGTGTGCTTGTGTCTGTGTGTGTGCATGTGTGTGTAAATGGAGGCAGTGGAGCCAATAAACTTCCTTACTATTCACTGTGAATTAGAGTACTACACTGTGTCTCCAGTCATTTCTCAAATACATAAATAAATAATGAGAGATAAGCAGATGTGAGCAAACTCTGATTGATAAATAGACCCTTAAGAATAACTCTTTACCCAAATATATGCACAGTCTTTGCAAAAATGTGATTGGAGGGATATTTAAGAAGCAATTGTTTTTTAAGAGTTCATATGGATCTCTTCCCCATCTGTTCTGGAATGGCCATTTGAAAAGTGGGCTCTACACAGAATGAATGCTTTTGGCCAACGGACACTTATCATTTCCTCAAGCATAGGTAGCTTTCACTTTTCCTGGTATCACCTCCTCCCCCACTGAGAGTGTTAACTCACAAGGAATCAATATCTTTTTAGCAATTTATCCCAATGAAACATGCTTCTGTTGTCATCTAAGAAACTGTGGCTCACAACAGCTCACACCCATGCATATGCTAGAGCAGAAACTGGTACATTAATAACAGGGCTTGAGATTTTAAAAAACAAAAGTTATAGGATATACAGAGAAAGAGAAGTTGTGAAGTGGACCATGGAATGCCAGGCAAGTGAAGGCATGCTACACCTTGTACAGGAAACTGATGCCATCATGCAAAGAGGTCACTCTAGGAGGGAATGCTGAACTCCAACCCTGGTGAGAATGCACTGTTCCAAAAACAAACAAAACAAAGCAAAAACTCTTGTAGGCACCTCCATTATTCTTCCCATCTCCATAAATAATACACTGTAAGAAGATGGAATGTAGAACAAGAAAGGTCCTTTCTCGACCCCAGTAAAGTTATGTTCATCAATTTATACAACTGACTTCCAATCAATCCACTCCATTTCTCCTCTTTATTAAAATTTTTTGATTTAAGGATATGTTCATTGATAAGTATCCTGAACTCATGGAGATGATGGGACAAATCCATATGAATGAAAAAGTAGGAGAAAAAGAGTTTCAGCTACAGAGAAGAGATGAAATACAGTTAAACAAAGGAGATGAAAAACAGACATTTTTTAGCAACTTATATACATGTCTGTGTGTATTCTACATGGTGTCACTTGAAGTATGGTCTGTGGTGGCAGCATTATCATCACTACTACCTGGGCACTTGTTGGAAACGCAAATTCTGAGACTAATTCCAACCTACTGAAACCAATTCCCTGAAATAGCACCCAGGAATCTGTTTAAAATGCCTGCTAGATGATTCTGATGCATTCAAGTTTAAGAAGCACTGTTTTTAACAATATGCATTCTCATATGCTTGCATATCAGTAAAAAAGCACCTAAGTCTTACAAGAATAGTGCTGATTATTTGAAATTCTTCCCTGTTAAATGCCATTAAAATGCAGGGAGGATATGATATGCATTGGACCATTTATCAGAAACAATATAAAAAAGCTAAGTCCTACAGTCAGTGTACCATAATCTCATATACTAAAAACTATACTCGCAGAATATGATTATTACGTGCACAAATATGAAACAGCCTTTCTCTGCATCTGTTCCATCAGATAACATAAACTTTTGCTTTCCATTAAATGCTCATGTTTACGAAAGACAGCACAGCATAATCTAGATAATCCAAAGGCAAGGAAACCAATGGTAAGGTGTACATAAGAGTCATAAGACTGTAATTTTTACGTGAAAAGAATAAAGAAAAGTTCCTTTGCAGGTAATCTCAGAATAGTAAGGTTACAGAAGAGTTCTGTGTAGACACAAGCACAGCGAGGCATATGCCTCACAGTTTAGAGGGGCCATCATTTTTCAGTTGGATAAGTAATTTATCTAGGACATCCACCCCATGGTATCCGATGCTTTGCAAAATGAGATTTCAAATAGCTTCCAGAGAATGGTGCTCAGAAAAATGAAGATATAATATACTGGTCCCCATTATGTAGTCTTTATTTTCACTAAGAAAAGGTATCAACTGATTTCAATCCAATCAGTCCTGGGAGACATGACTGATGACATATTTAATATTCAGAAAGGATATACAAAAGAGAAAGTACTATTTGGCAAATGTAAGCTTATTCATAGGATGAAATACTTCTTTCTTTGCCTATATGTTAAAGAATATGAGTATTGTAATTAGGAAAGAAATCTTGGGCCCTTTTTATGTACCTGAAAAAATAAGAAGTATCAGGTTTATCCTTATGGGGATATAGGGTGTGAGATATGGGGCTATTAAATAATAACAACAAAATAAAGCTAATTCTTGGCCGGTGCCACGACTCACTAGGCTAATCCTCCGCCTGCGGCGCCGGCACCCCGGATTCCAGTCCCCGTTGGGGCACTGTTTTCGGTCCCGGTTGCTCCTCTTCCAGGCCAGCTCTCTGCTGTGGTCCGGGAAGGCAGTGGAGGATGGCCCAAGTGCTTGGGCCCTGCACCCCATGGGAGACCAGGAGGAAGCGCCTGGCTCCTGGCTTTGGATTGGTGCAGCGCACTGGCCGTAGCGGCCACTTGAGGGGTGAACCAACGGAAAAAAGACCTTTCTCTCTGTCTCTCTCCTCTCTCACTGTCTAACTCTGCCTATAAAAAAAAATAAATAAATAAAAAATAAAGCTAATTCTTGATTGCAGTGGGCATCTAAGACCTTTTATCCTCTCTTCCTTATTTTGATCTCTCTCTCTCTCTCCTGACCTCCAGGCAGTTTTCAACTCCACAAGCTTGTAGTTATTATCATCCATATAAAATCTCACATAGCCAGTGGAGATGGTATTTAGCCCAGTGGTTGGGATCCGCATTTCTTACACTGGAGTGCCTGGTTTGATTCCTGTCTCCAGCTTCCTGCCAAGGCAGACCACAGGAGGCAGTAGTGATGGCTCAACTGATGGGTTCCCGCCTCATGTGTGGAAGACCTGGAGTATATTCCTGACTCCCAGCTTCAATCCTAGCCCAGTCCTGGCTGTTGCAGGTCTTTGGGGATTGGACCAGCAGATGGGAGCTCATGCTTACTTGCTCACTTGCTCTATCTCAAAAAAGAAGAAATAATTTAAAACAGAGAAGGTAAAAGTAAAATTAATTCAGCTTCACATTTGGATCAGAGAAAAGGAGATGAAAGAAACTGAGGTTCAGAGATTTTATTAATCTTGCCACATATGAGCAGCTGAATAGATGGATTATCTCACCACGTGCAGCTCACAGCGAGTGCCTCTGTTAGCTCCGCTAGCCTCTGGTTTGCAAGCTTCATAATTTAGGCAAAGTTTCCCTCTGTGTATTGCTTGGGACTAAGACATATAGCTGTGGCAAAATTTTAGATCTAAGTGCTGGATTTCCATGACAAAATTTTTTTATGGAGAATAACAGAATGCATATGCTACTCTCCTCATTTTCCCACTCACACTAAGCATTTCTAGGAGGAATCCAGTACTCCACTAGGACAGTACTTCAGAAACTTTAGTGTGTAGACAAATCATCTGGGACTCCTGTTAAATGTGTATTGTAGGGCCGGCGCTATGGCTCAATAGGCTAATCCTCCACCTAGCGGCACCGGCACACCAGGTTCTAGTCCTGATCAGGGCGCCGGATTCTGTCCTGCTTGCCCCTCTTCCAGGCCAGCTCTCTGCTGTGGCCAGGGAGTGCAGTGGAGGATGGCCCAAGTGTTTGGGCCCTGCACCCCATGGGAGACCAGGATAAGTACCCGGCTCCTGCCATCGGATCAGCGTGGTGCGCCGGCCGCAGCGCGCCGGCTGCGGCGGCCATTGAAGGGTGAACCAACGGCAAAGGAAGACCTTTCTCTCTGTCTCTCTCTCTCTCACTGTCCACTCTGCCTGTCAAAAAAAAAAAAATGTGTATTGTAACTCTGCAGGTCTGGGTGAAACCTGAGGTTCTGCATTTCTAACCAGCTTCCAGAAGGTATCAGTGCTGTTGCCATGGATTGAACTTTGCAGAACAATGACCAAGAAGGTACTGAGAAGCAGGTGAGAAGGCAGGTATGAAGCTACTTCTGGAAAGTTATAAGTGTTGATAACAGGAATGGGAGCAGATGTCCCACCAGGCAACCAAGCCAGTCCACGGCCAGTAGTCTCTCCTCTCCTTCCAGCCTCCTGGAGACACACATTAGTACACCAAACAGAAAATTTCAGAGAGAGTAAGATTTCCATGGTGGAAGGAAGTGGCAGTCTGCATGACATTTGCTACCATAAATAGGATTTTTAAATTATCTGTACTAATTAATAAATGTGGATGTATATATGTGTGTGTATGAGTTTTTGCTTTTCTGATTGCTTCTCTGGTTACCTTGCTGAACTCTCTAATTAAGAATTTTTTTTTATTTTTTTGCTCAATTATTTTTGGTATCTGGATAGACAATCTACCAGCATCTGCAAATACTGAGACCCAGGCCTTTTCCTTTTCTAGCATTCAGGGGACTTGTTTATTTTTCCCTGTCTTACTGCACGATCCAGGGCTTCCAATGCAATGTGGCATAAAGGCTTGTTGAGATTATGTGGCTGAGGCATTTTGGAGTCACAGACCTTTACATTCCACGCCTGATTCTTTCTTGAATGAGCTCTCTCTGTTTCTCTTAATTAGGGGTTATGAACTCACTCGGCCTAAGGGATAGTTTCGATATTAGAGAGATGAGAGGGCAGAACTCAAATGAGGGAGTACAGGAGCAGACAGAATGTTCTGTGGGTTTGAAAAGCTTCTTCTGTGAGATATTCAAACTTTTTGTTTAATCCTTCTGATTGAGTTATCTAGGATAGAAAAGAAAGAGATTCAGAGCAGCTATTTGAATTAAAAATAAAGGCTATACATTTTTCTGGGCTGTCTTCAAGTCTCTGACCTACAAAAGTCAAGAATCACGCTGATCTCAGAAGTAGTATCAAGAATTCAAGGTACAGGTCTGGTGCTGTAGCATAGTAGGCTAAGACTCTGGATGCAGCACCAGCATCCCATTTACACACTGGTTTATGTCCTGGATGTTCCACTTCCCATTCAGCTCTCTCTGCTTAAGGCCTGGGAAAGCAGTGGAAGATGGCCCAAGTCCTTGGGCCCCTGCACCTGCATGAGAGACCCAGAAGAAGCTCTTGGCTCTTGCCTTCGATTGGTCCAGCTCTGACTGTTGCAGCCATCTGGGGGAGTGAATAGCAGATGGAACACCTTTCTCTCTGTCTCTCCCTCTCTCTGCCTGTAACTCTGCCTCTCAAATAAATAAATAAAATATTTTTAAAAATGCAAGGTACTTCCTTACTGTGAATAGTAAGCAAATAGGAGAAAACATTAGAAAATAAATGAACACAATACAATTGTCCACTGCAGTAGTGACAGAAAACAAAAGTTGACTAATGATAAGCATTTTTCTTAAGAAAGAATGTAGCTGACAGAGCCAGAGAAAGTACAGGTGATCACATTTTTAAGAACTAAATTAAAGCCTCCTTAAAATTTTCAAAAAAAAGCTAATACATTTTAAAAACAGCATAAAAAATAAAAACTCCTAGGAATTACAAGAGTGACTAGTGGTAGGCCAAAGAAAACAACCCCTAAAAGGAAATGAACTGGACAGGGTCTATGAAGGCAGCATCCACCCTCCAGATGTCAGAACTGTGTCTTTATGTGAAAAGTGCAAGGCAGGAGTGAGGTCTCTGAGATGTTTACCAGATGGCTGGGGGCTGCCTTCATCTCAAAGCGCACCAGAAGATGCCCTGTGTTAGGAGGTGGCCCACTGAGGATGTGTTAGATTTTCTCCTCTCTGCTAACTTATCTTCCCTGTTGAGCAGGAAGCAGGATTCCTGCCAATCTCACCACACTTAAGATGATCAATGAACCAAAGTGCATAGAGAAGTTGAGGGAAATAAAACAAAACCAAAAAAACAAAAGGCAGAAGGGGGAAGGGTTAGGGAAACAGAGCAAGCCAAGGTAACCTCCAAGCCACAGTAGCTTAAGAATGTGGATAATATCTGGGTAAAGATCATGAATGTAGTATTTGCATGACTAAAAAGTGGAGCAGAAGAACTTGAAAAGTTGTCAAGTAAAATAAGTATCATGTTGTACTGAAATGATCATTTGAAAGAGGCAGCATCTGTGCAGCTACGCAGTGTGCCTTCTCTTTCTTATATCAGCGCATTCAGACTTAGTGCAATTTCTAAAGTGCAACCACTTAGGTTGGGAGCCACTGAACCCTCACCAGGGAAGAAAAGAGAAAACCTCTGGTGAAGATGTGCTAAGTCTCTACAAAGAGGCCAGTCACACTCTGCCTGCTGTCTTTTCTAATGGCCATACTTTGTGTCTGGCATGATCCTGTGTTTCCTAACCTTTTCTCTTCATATGGTACAATGATTAACTTTGATTATTCTGAAACTAAAATATACTGTCCATTTCTCACTTAAATTTTTCTTATTCTTGATGTGTTATGAAAAAAAAAAAGTGGATTTTCCTCTTTGGATCATGAAGAGCCTGAATGGGTTTCAGTGAAGAAAAAACATTTTGTTTTGTGCACATGTAAAGATAAAAAATTTATTTTAGTTGTAAAAAAGTTGTCACCTTTAGTTGTTCTAAAATATTTTATCTTTTGTGCTTAAGCAAATTTTTGACTATAAGTTCTTGTTGCTAAGTGAATCATATTCTAAAATTAGCTCTAGTTAGTAATAAAAATTTAAAAGTAAAAATTTAACCTGAAATTCAATTGGCCTAATGCTGTATTTTCACCCAGGAACTCAAGGATTTTTCTTGTTGTCAAAATATTTTATTTGAACCTATATATGTTTCTTACATGCAATTCACTAAGAGACAAAAATAAAGCTTTCCAGTCAGTCCATGCAAAAGTATGAGACAAAGTTAGCAATGGAGAATTCACCTACAGTGTGGTAAACCCAGTCCATTCTCTATTTAACACAATCAACAGAAAAACAGTACTTTAAATATCATCTTGCAAAAACACAGACACAATTAAGTAATTATAAAATTCACACATAACACACAGAACCAGAGCTAAATGTTACAGCGAGAAACCAACAAAAAGCGGTGTGCAAAGCCAACAGGTGGGAAGCACATGAACACACAGGGCAGCAGCTGATTTTTGCACCTGGTAAAGCCATAAGGGAAAGCTCAGCAGGTCAGAAGCAAAGCGGATAAGGAGTAGGATGCGGGCATGCAATGAGGACAATGGGGGAAGCAAGCCACTGCACACAGACTTTATGGAGTTAATGTATGAAAAAGCTTACTTCATTTAGAAAGCTCACTAATTGGTCTACCGTTAAATAATCAGTTTTGTCTCCATTGCTGAAAAAAAATTTATTAGAAAAAGTAAGTTTTTGTATATGATGCTACAGTAGGTACGATTTACATGTTGACATTTGTTGATGATAATTCTAAACTTATTTTCTAACCTGAAGTAGTGGTGGATTCTTAAAATGGCCAGAGACTGGAAGGGGGTTGGGGGAACACAACAGCAATAAAGGAAAGGCAAGAAATTAATCCCTCTAGGTCACAGAAAACGTCTGCAATTCTTTAGCATTATCCAACGATATCATTTCAAAAACAACATGTAAGTCATCCACTTGAAATAGTTGGAATGAACGAACTTTTCAACAACATAATAACATTCCAAACTGAATCTAGTTAGTTCACATAATGGGTTAATACCTAAAGGAGCAGGTTAAAATTGTAGGTAGTTAGTAAAGCCAATGCCAGGGGCGGGGGTAGGGAGAAGGGGAGTTCCAGGTGCTGCAAGTAATTTATGTCAAAATTTCTCAGAAACTCACATTTTATACTGATAAAACTAAGGGGTGAAAACATAACCCTAACTAAATATTCCTAGACACTTCCAACATACTGTATTAAAATATTCTATCAAAAAATTTCTAAAAATCTACATGGACTAGGAAAATGTACATGACACTATCTCATAAAGGGACTTACATTTTTTTAAAAAGATCTTCTATATCCGTCCGAGGACAAATCTTTTGCGTCAGTTCATAGAACTTTTCGTAAGTAAATGCTGCAGGCTCAATCTCATCATTCTGCAAAGCATAAAAAGAGTGTCATAAATCACAGAACCTCCTTTCTCCTAGGAAAGTGAGAATCTACAGGGTAAAGAACCAAAGTGATGGCCACTTGGAATCCCAGGGCGTCCATCTCCAGTTCTTTTTGACAGAAGTCAGGACAGGGATGGGCATTGTCGCACAGCATGTTAAGCAGTCACTTGGGATGCCCACGTCCCACATCAGTGTGCCAAAGTTTGAGTCCCAACTATGCCACTTCTGATCCAGGTTCCTGCTAGTGTACCTGGGAAAGCAGCAGATGATGGCCCAAATATTTGGGCCCCTGCAACCCCTGTGGGAGACCTGGATGGAATTCCTGGCTCCTGGATTCAGCCTGGCCCAGCCCTATTTGTTGTGGGTATTTGAGGAGGGACCCAGATGATGGAAGAATATCTCTCTCTCTCTCTGTATCTCCTGTCTCTTTGTCATACTGCCTTTAAAATAAATAAATAATAAATAAATGCTTAAAGAAATTCTAAAAAATACTGTTTCTTTTTCTTAATAAAGCTGACAAAAATCATTTTGAAATAAATTATTTAAATTTTAGAACATTTAGGTTAAAATGCTCAGAAAATAGAAGGAGGGGAGAGAGGGAGAAAGGGAGGAATAAAAAATGAAAGAAAATCTACTATACTCTATGTTACTTAATTTAATGCTTCATCTGAGGTCAGTTTAATATAAATAATTTACTTATTACATAGGAGGATCTAATAAACAATGTGGTTTTAGAAATACATTGCTAATGAATACCTTTCCACTGGGAAGACCTAACTCCTTGAGTGCTTGGAAGATGACCTTTTCTGTTTTTCCCGATGCAAATGTTCTAGTAATACTAGGGAAGAAAAGAAAGAAAGAAAAATTCATATTAGTGTTCATTCTCTTTTCTCTAACGCAAGATGCGAGTAGTACCAGGGATGCAGGACTAAGAGAAAAGAAAACTCAAAACAAATTTGCATTTCATTCGCAGGTGTTTTTCATTCCTCACATTGGCTCGTCCAACAGGGTCCCAGTCTCCAAAGCTGGCTCTACGACTGATGGAGCCTGAGTGTAAGACAAGCAATCTCCCTGCGGTGCCAGTGAAAATAGGGGGCGCCAAGAGGTAGAGACCACTGGACAGGCCGGCGCCGCGGCTCACTAGGCTAATCCTCCACCTTGTGGCGCCGGCACACTGGGTTCTAGTTCTGGTCGGGGCGCCAGATTCTGTCCCGGTTGCCCCTCTTCCAGGCCAGCTCTCTTCTATGGCCCGGGAGTGCAGTGGAGGATGGCCCAAGTGCTTGGGCCCTGCACCCCATGGGAGACCAGGATGAGCACCTGGCTCCTGCCTTCGGATCAGCGCGGTGCGCAGGCCACAGCGTGCCAGCCGTGGCAGCCATTGGAGGGTGAACCAACAGCAAAGGAAGACTTTTCTCTCTCTCTCTCACTATCCACTCTGCCTGTCAAAAAAAAAAAAACAAAAAACAAAAAACAAAAAAACAAAAACCACTGGACAAACAATGATACATCAAACAATGATACATTTTGATCCTACCAAATTATTTTCTTAGGAAAAAGGAGTATGGCAGATGTGACTGACAGTAGCTCTAGAATAAAACAACCTCATGTTGACAATATAGGGCCCTAGGGAGCCCTAGGAGGCCCCTTAGCACTGAGCCCAGCCTCTGATTGCATTAGTCCTGGTTTTCACACTTATTACAGTTGAGACACATTATCTTATATTTTGTTTTTGCTTTTAAGCCTAGAGCCCTTGAGCCACTCTGAAATGCCAGCTGCCTTTATTAGGGACTTTATGATGAAAGTGACAGGTCTGGGAGGAGACAGGGGAGCAATTATGCAATGTGTCAACAGAATATTGGCACTACCCTGACACACGTATGTTTGGCCATTTCATGACCACAGTGAGCATGTAGGCTAGTCAAATGGTTAACATCCCACTGAGCACGTATCTTGGTGGAGAGACTCCTGCCTCCGTTATAGATGCACTGGTAACACTCAGAATAGAAGCTTTCAAGGGGAGCAGTCAGTACTTGGCTCTAAGTGTCTAAGCCTTTATACACTTCCTAACAGGACGCTCAGGTGACTTTCTACTGTGATTATCTGAACTCAGAAGTCGAGCTTTGGGGCCAGTGCTGTGGCGTAGTGGATAAAGTCGCTGCCTGCAGTGCTGGCATCCCATGCCGGTGCCGGTTCAAGTCCCAGCCGCTCCACTTCCGATCCAGCTCTCTGTTATAGCCTGGGAAAGCAGAAGTTGTCCGATGCCCTTGGGCCCCTGCACCCACGTGGGAGACCTAGAAGAAGCTCCTGGTTCCTGCTTCGGATAAGCCCATCTCCTGCCATTGCGGCCATTTGGGAAGTGAACCAGTGGATGGAAGATCTTTCTTCCCCTTTTTCTCTTTCTCTCTCTTTTTCTCTCCCTCCCCTCCCCCTCTCTCTCTGCCTCTCTGTAACTCTGCCTTTCAAAAAAAAAAAAAATAGTCCAGCTTTAATGTGAAGATAAGAGTTTATTTTTATCCGTGAAGCTTAGCTTTGGAATGCTTTTCCTATGAGCATCAGAGGAGTTTTTAACAGCATCTCATGCTCAAACTTATCATTTATTTTGCCATTCCTGTTAAGTGGAAGACAACCTCCAAATAAAAGTGCTGACAGACAGTCAATCTTGTCAAGTGGAAGAAAGCACCACTTCAAGAGCAGAGTAGGACTTCCTAAAATAGACTGGGAAGCTATAGCTTTAGGTAAATGAATTACTGTGTTCATCAAAGCTTTATTGTTTCTTATGGGGCCCAAGACTACTTTAAGGAGTACACTTTTAAAAGTGCCTGAGACAGTTGTATTCAAGTATAAAGAAGTGTATGGACTCTATTTAACTTACAGATACAGCACATGTGTGATATTAAAAAAAACTAGTCAACATATTTCTAGGATAGAGGGAGCCCACATTTTCACACCTCAAGAATTCATGCAATTTTTATACACTGAATTGGGTGAGATCCAATTTATCTGACCTTTTAATTTAGGAGGAAGCAGCCATTGAGCCTTTTTTCAAAAGAGTATTGTTAACATATGAACTGCAGATACTATGGAGTATCTGGCATCTGTAATCGGAGGACAATCTATGCATAGCAATCTCAAAGGGTAGCCCAGCTGAGCTGAGCCTCTGTTAGGTTTGGACCAGTGTGGTAAGACAAGATAAAAACTGACTGATGGTCATAATTGTAGCAGGTATGGAGCCCGAGCCTTTCTAGTGAAACAGAACCTGGATGGTGAGGCAACGGAAGATTGTATGAGAATGGACTTTTTTGATCAGGTGCCAAGAAGTAGGAAGTAGAATAAGAATGTCTGGGGTGTGGAGGAGACCCACCTATTCATGAGGGTGCACTGGCTGGGCAATCTTACCACAGATTTGTCTACCTCATTCTAAAAGAGATTGAGCCCAGGACAGAAGATGGGAGCAAGGAAGGCTCATAGAGTAATTTAACCAGAATCCTAAGAGAAACACACTTTTCTCAGGTTGAGGATGTTTCAGACAACATCATGGGGGCATTTCCTGGGAACACAGCCCATTTTTAGAGTATTTATATAGGCCAGTGTTTCACTGGACTCTTTATATATTGCCTTGTGCACACAGAATTCAGCTTAGTACTTCATTGTTACTAGGTGCTCACTGAGTTTTTGTTGTATCAACAAATTGCCACACTTTCCTCAAAAGAAATCCCATAAAAACAAATGCCCCTTGAGTTGCATCCAACCCTATTAGGGTCCTGCTTAAATTCTAGATTCCAAAGGATTTGACAGATGATTAAGATAACAATCCTAGGAACTAAAGGAGCCCTATATTTTTGCTTGCCCACACAGAATCTGCAATCTATGCAACGGTTTAACACTATCATCTGAAACAGTCACAGGGGCTCTAGAAGACAAGGAAAAGCATTACTGCACCTGCAGAATTAGAGCCTCCTTGTAGGCTGCTGGACCTTCAGAGGATTACATAGGAGCTGCGCTGCCTTTACCATACCAGAATCCATCTGTATTCTTTAAGACAGGTGTCTCCTTAAGGATCTCCTTTAGCCATGGCAAACAACCTTGTGTGCTACCCTTTTCCCAAGTCTTTGGCCACTGGTTCCCATTCTGGTCACAAGGAGTGGGAGGCAGCAAGAGAAAAAGAGTTATTTCTCAAGCTTTGGTCTGAGGGAGAAGATAAACTGAGTGTGAGTCTGCAAACTGGAGGGAAAGGCAGGCTGCCTAAGATCAGTCTATAGACAGAAAAGACAAGACATAGACAAGGAGTGAAACTTTATCATCTGTCATCCCACAACTTCCTGGATATTAAATTCTGGTTTAATGCTAGGGAGCAGGGGCCATTTCCAAGTTGCGTAATGACTAGGAAGCCAGATTCCTTTTAATGTTATGCACACTATATTAACAGTTTCCATTTCTAAAACTCCAGCAGGATTGCAATGAAATGACATTTTAAAAGTGTTTACTTTTCATATCCATTAAAACCTTCAGAACAATTTCCACCTAATCTTGGCAGCTCATCTAGAAGTAGACTCAGCCACTTTCCTTGGCTTGGTAGCAATACTCCATCAACTCTAACAAACTGCTCAGATCACAGATGTCTTATGTCAAACACCTGTTAATTCTGGCAAGCACCAAAGCGTCCATGTCAAAGAGAGCTAAGGAAGGTGCCAAAACATCTGGGCTATTTCTACACATAAGACAGTCCTACTTTTGTATGTGAGCATGCTACATAAAGAGCAATAATGCCAGAAAAGACTTGGAAATCTGAGTAACAATGGCTTGAGGGGTAGGAATACACACAAATGAAACTGCTTATTACAATTGCTTTCATCACAATGAATGTGTTTCCACTTTGTCCATTCCCTGAACCTTATCTTGAAAGGAAAAACAGGCAAGCAAGCCATGTCAAGACAGATTAAAATAGAATTAAATTCTGTCCTTCACTGCTGTCTTGCTCTTTGAAGTTTGGACTTCATTGATTTTAGGTAAAAATAAACTATATGGATGCATATATTCCTGAGAGTAATCCAAAAGTTCACTGAAAATGGAATTAAAGATAAGTTTATGTTGGTGCAAAAGAAATGTATTAATGGTTTTTTCATGATACACATTTTCCAATAACTTTCTAAGATCCCTCAGGTATGTATATAGACTCTGTGTGTGTGTGTATGTGTGTGTGCTCAATAGCTGTAGTATGTTGGGGTACAATACATTACAATAATTGTACTGGTATTACTCAATGGAGCAATGGGTTTAGAATAAAATAAGGATCAATGTAAAGTGTCTTTGCCAATAACCATCAGTCAAAGGTGCTAACAACTTTCTTCTTAACTTTTCAAGTTAATGCAAAATTACCTTGTTAGCAAGTTATCTAATACAAAGAATTCTACAGATAGATTTGTAAAGACCACAACCAATACATGAGGTCAGCAACACAGTAAGCTCTCAATGAAAGGTTAAATAAAAAGAATACTACATGAGGTCTTCTCCCTGATCGCTATACTTTTTATCTTCTCATAAATATTTCAGTCACAGCACACAGATACTTGGTTTCATGACCACTGTAACAACACAGAAAATTAAGAGAGATGATGACATGTAACATAATTCTGTTAAGTGTGAACATGGTAACGTCAAGAGAGAGTGCAGATGCTTTCTTAGGGGTGCAGAGGGGAAGCTGGGTGGCAGGGAGGCAGAGAAGTTCTAAAAGTGGCCATGCATGGAAAGCCAAGACACTCTGGAAAAAAAAAAAAAACCTAAATGAAAGATCTCCGCGAGTGAGATCCCAGTGGAAAGAACGGGTCATCAAAGAAGGAGGTACCTTTCTCTGAAAGGAGGAGAGAACTTCCACTTTGACCATGGCCTTGTCTAAATATGATCAGAGTCGGTGAACTCAGGGGGCTCATGACAAGAGCCTAGGGTGATTACTGATGCCATAAACAAGAGTGTCAATTTGTTAAGTCAACAACAGGAGTCACTGTGCACTTACTCCTCATGTAGGATCTCTGTCCTTAGTGTGCTGTACATTGAGATTTAATGCTATAACTAGTACTCAAACAGTATTTTTCAGTTTATGCTTCTGTGTGGGTGCAAACTGTTGAAATCTTTACTTAATGTATGCTAAACTGATCTTCTGTATATAAAGAGAATCGAAAATGAATCTTGATGTGAATGGAAGGGGAGAGGGAGTGGGAAAGGGGAGGGTTGCGGGTGGGAGGGACGTTATGGGGGGGAAGCCATTGTTATCCATAAGCTGTACTTTGGAAATTTATATTCATTAAATAAAAGTTAAAAATAATAATAAAAAAAAAAGCGGCCATGAGTGACCAGCACACCACTCTGCAACTGTGTCTTCCCCAAAGTCACACACTTGGAGACCTGCACTCCTCCTCTGTGAACCATGGACCAGTTTTAAGGATTTTACCCACTGGTTCTGGGTTTTGTTTGCTGTGGCTTGTTGGTTTGCTTCCTTGCTAAAATGGTGTCCAGGGAAGATGTTAATATGAGCCTGAGTCTAAAGAAACCCACAAAGGTAAGTTGGTGTCTAGGGAACTCGTACTTGATTCAGATCATGGGCTAATAGTTTGTGAATACAACTACTGTTTTGATTTCAAGTGTACAGCAGATGTTCTGAGATCCATCTAACTTCTAGAACTTTCACAAATTCTTAGACAAACATTAACCAAAAAGATCCTGGAGAGAAAAGAATTCTCAGTGCTGTGCTGTAAGAGCTTCCAAATGTACACATGGACCATTAGTAAAGCCTAACACCTAGGGGCTGGTGCTGTGACACAGCAGGTACAGTCACTGCCTGCAGTGCTGGCAAGGCATATGGGCACCAGTTTGAGTCCCAGCTGCCCCACTTCCAGCTTCCTGCTAATGTGCTTGGGAAGGCAGCAGAAGATGGCTCAGATCCTTGGGCCCCTGCACCTGTGACAGACCTGGATGAAGCTCTTGACTCCTGGCTTTGGCCTGGCACAGCCCAGGCCATTGCAGGCATTTGGAGAATGAACCAACAGATGGAAGATCTCTCGCTCTCTCTCTCTTTTTCTTTCTTCCCCATTGCCTCTGTCTCTCCTCTGTAGCTCTTTTAAATAAAATAAATAAATCTTAAAAAAAAAAAAAAAAAGCCTAACACCTGAAAGGAAGAGGGAAGCAGAGCAGAGGTACACATGGTGAGTCCCCAGAGGCAGAACCATGTCAGCACCGTATTTAAGAACATGAGTCAAGGACATATCCGGTTCATGTTCTCATCACTGACTCTACTGAAGCCCTCCAGCCTTTTTTCTTCTCTCTTTGTCATGGTTACATTGGACAGGATGAGGGAGGAAGCAGCAGCTGTGTGGTATCAGTTACAGCCCACCTACAGAGCATTCAACAAGAAGCAATAGGGATAATCCTACTACAGATAGGATGTCTGTGTCCCCTCCAAATTCTTAAGTTAAAATCCCAACCCCTAATGTGATGATACTAGGAGGCGGGGCCTTTGGAAGGTGATTGAGTCATGGGCATGGGAAGTCTCCTGAATGAGATTAGTGTCCTTATAAAAGGGACCCTGGAGAACTCTCTGTCTCTCTTTCTGCCATGTGAGAAAACAAGCAGAAGGCAGCAGGCAGTTATTCATAAAAAGATCACTGGCCATCCACAGAGCCTGATTGTGCTATTACTCTAGCCTAAGACTTCCAGCCAGAACCATGAGAGACACCTGTGTCTGCTTGTAAGCCACCCGGTCTCTGGCACTTAGTTATAGCACCTTGAACTAGGACAGAGCCCCACCCGCCCTTCATCCCAGAGGAAAAGCATATCCAAGAAGCAGAATGTCCCATCCAGAGGCAGACAATGCAGACTCTACCATGCTGGGTACACAATGCAGACTTCTTTAATTCAGTTAATGGCTGCTCAGGGTACAGAGGTAATAGAAATCTAAATCATACAGGACAGCACAATTTGAAGATTAATGGAATAATCCTACATTTTTAGATGTCCTCTACTTGGCTAAAATCGAGTTAAAATTTTATAAACTGAGCACACTACTTGACAAAGTGATTCAAACTAAGCTTCTGCTCATGTCTGGAAGGGAATTAACACAGAAACACATGAAGAGGGCTCTGCCCTTTATTTGGGACCATGGAGGTGGACTCAGGCATGATGAGAGAATGGGAGTGACTGACTTACCTCCTAACTGGAATTTTTCCAGTTGTGTTGGTCATGAAAGCCAATTTCATCCAGCTGGAAAACACAGACAAACATTGTTTTAGTGTTTCTTCAGAATAGCTTTAATCCAGTTAAGGATTTCAAAAGAATGTTTATTGAAACAAAGAGCATTTATTCTGAAAGTTGGAGACAACTATAGAGTATGACATGAATTTATGGCTGTCAAATTTTGCAAATAAAAACAGAACTCTGGTAAATTTGAATTTCAGATAAACAAATGATTTTTTTACTGTAAATTTGTTCCAAGCATTGCATAAGACATATTTATATGAAAATATTACCTTTTTTCTACTTACCTGAAATTCAGATTTAACCAAGTGTACTCCATTTGGTCTGGCAATCCTCTATAAGTTAGTAAAAGGAATGCTTGTGCTGAGCAAAACACCTTTTTTTAGGATTTATTTATTTATTTGAAAGTCAGAGTTACACAGAAAGAGGGAGAGACACAGAGAGAAAAACAGAGATCTTCCATCCTCTGGTTCACTCCCCAGGCAGCCACAACAGTCAAGGCTGGGCCTGGCAAAAGCCAGGAGCCAGGAGCTTCTTCCAGGTCTCTCACATGGACAGCAGGGACACAAACACCTAGGACACCACAGCTGCTTTTTCCAGGTCATTAGCAGGGAGCTGGATTGATAGCAGAGCAGCTGGGACATGAACCAGTGCCCACATGGGATGCCGGCATTGTGGATGGCGGCTTTACACGCTACACCATGATGGCAGCCCCTGTGAGTACACATTTTTGAAGGGTCTTTCTCTTGAGTATTGTACTTTGGTAAGGAGATGGGAAGTGCAACTGCACATTGATGTCAGCCAGCCCTGTCTTGAGGATGCATGAGGACTCTCTGCACCCACCATCCGGTACTGCCAAATAAGACCAAAAAGGCATCTCCTTTCATTTTCATTGACAAGAGGCCACCAATCCATATGGATGAAGAGCAGCCACTTGGTTTTCCCATGCTTTCAGGACACATAAGGGTCCAGAACATTTATCAGTTCTTTGGAACTTGAATTATGCCTAAATAATGACCCCCATTCTCACTGTTTCCTGTGAACAATATTCTAACAATCTGCAAAACATGATGATTTGGCAAGCATTATAGTTTGAACAGGATATGGTTCTCTATCTCATACAAATGATTAGGCCTCAAAGTCATGGATTGACGGTATGGAGAAGATGGAATCTTGATCCAATTATCATGTCTAGGAGGTGGGGCCTAGTGAGAAGGCCTTAGGTCACTGGGGCTTTAACAAACAAAGGCATTGAGATAGGATTGGTTATGAAAACTTGTGTTGAGCCAATTGTGCTCTCTCTCTCTCTCTCTGTTTCTTGGCTCGTTATGGGATCCTTCCTTGACAGATGCTCTGTCCTTGCCATCCTCTGGCCTCACTAGATAACTGAATTAATGTAGCTATATAGTCTTGGACTGTGAACTTCCAAAACCACAATCCAAAGGAAACTTCCTATCTTCATAAGTAGCTTGCCTTCAGTGTTTTGTTGAAATAATGAAAAATGACTGATACAGTGAAGTTCAGTCTTAAGTTTCTTAGAAGGGCAAGCGACTTCTTCTTTAGGGAATGTTTTGGGGACAAAGGGAAGGAGGGATGTAAATGGGCAGAGAAAGCAGCTAAGCAGTGCTGTGGTCTCAGCTGGAGCTTTAGTCAGATCTGTGATGATACCAGCCATGGTAGCACGGAGACCAGCTTTTGTACTCCATTTCAGTACATTATTAAGTGTGGGCTTCTCCCAAGGTGGAGGGAGAAATAGAGTCCTGCAGACATGGAGGCTCCACTGAATCAGTGGGCAATGCTCTGGAGAAGTGGGCAGGTCTGAGCCCTCGTTGAGCAGCTGGTGGCTGGGTAAACCTCAGTTCCATGAAAGGATCTGGGAAGGACTCCATGAAACCTGGTGTCCAATAGAGATATTTGGGTCACCTTCTAAAGGTGAGTCTTTGGAATTGTCACTGTCTGGAATCAACCCATTAAAATATTCATTGGGATTCTCTAGAGACCACAGCAACTACAGGGGAGAAGCAGAAGCAGCTACACAGCATACATGAATTTAGATGACAAAAAACAACTTCCTTCCACCAAGACTGAAAGGAAATTGGAGAGATACCATAAAAATTAAAATAACTAACATTGGATGAGGAATCACTGGGAAACAGACACTGGTGTTTTCCAATTTCATGGCATTGTACTTTGATTCACAGATGAGAACAGGGGAACACAAGGCCAAGGATTTGCTGAGGGTCACACAGCAATTAAGTGGCACTGGGGAGGTTGGATCTCAAGCACCCAATCTCTTAAGAACCTGCCTAAGTGACCGAGTTGTAAGGAATACATTGCCTAAAGGACTTCTTGGCCCACTGCCAAACGGAGGCAATGAATCACAGTCTTAGTGCTGGGGCCTGGTTCGGAGAGATGCAGGCTTATCCCTGAAATCTCTCTACGTAGCTCCCTTTGACTGACAACTGCCTTCCAATGGTCTTGGGAAGGCAGAAAGCTCCACATCTTCATGGAACTCTACTTTTCAAATAGGCTGATGTTTCCCTTGGGCTAGGATTTCTACTTGGGTAATTCTCATTGTCTTGAAAGGTTAACCAGGGAAAGGTTAAAATCTACCAACATAGTATCCCTCTGGATTTCAGATACAATGGCTGTGGTAGGGTCTATTTTCTAAATTTCTTTTCTGAAAGCAGAAAGCCCGTTTGGATCCTTGATTGAATATCTGCGTACCTGGATTTTCAACACAAATTCAGAATCACCTTTGGATTACTGATTGTGTGCTACAGAGGAGGAACTGTATCCAGAGCCTGGACGTCCTGCTTTCATCCCTGCAATGGGTGCTTTTGCAAGTATTTCTCTTAGCCACACTGCCCCATTCAGTGGAGGTTAGAGCTAACCCCGGCTATAGCCCCAGGCATGCAGAGTTATCTATCAGTAGGTTCAGACAGGCATACTAAAGGCCATGTCCACACACAGGGGATACTGAGTGACCAAGGTTCTAGTACCTTTGCCTATTAACCATCCTCCCATGCAGGTTTCAGGCTGTGAGGTCATCATGCATGCCTTGCCAGATGGTAGGAAGAGGACAGGGGGGTGTTCATCAACTCTTTCTCCAAGGTCAGGAGCATAGAAGGAGAGGCAGGCAGGACTTGGCCTTACCATATCCATAGCCTTTATATCCTAATCTGAGCATTTGCTTGATACTTGCCAAGAACAAAGGGTGATACAAACAAAACTCACTGTTTCTTGAGGCATGTCATCGGACTGACATTGTTGGCCCTGAAGTTGTGTATGATTGATCTCAGGCCTTCCACCCATTGCTGAAAGAGAAGAGAAAACGTTCTTGGTAAGCAAATCTGTTGCAGCCAAATATGGTGGTTTTTATTAGATAGCCTGTATCCATTTTGTGTCATAAAAACGTAAACTCTTCTTTTATCCCCTTCCTGCTGCACAGCCATCTACATTTTGCATGCTCATATTTTACTCTTTAATAAACAGCTTTCATTCTTTCCATGAAGATAAATGAGACATCCTTAGTGCTATTAAACACTGGGTTGCCACAAAGGAATGCTGCCCACTGATTGACGTGTTAAGCTTTCTATTTGCAGCCTGTTTAAATATAAGCACTTTTGCAGTTGCTGGCAATCATAGTTATTTCTAAGCAACATTATACAATGCATAGTATTGCATTTAGCTATTCCTGTTCTAGAAGATGGATGCATAGGGGTTTGTCAGTTTTACTGTAGGATTCCTTCAATCAAAGAATTTGTCACAATCCTTACCTGTCTGTGTTTTCCAACAAAGCCTTAAAAAGGAAAGCAATCCTTGATTGCTAGTGTATCCTGCGCCAACAGCGATGTGCTCACATTATTTCTGTATAAGGACTTGGATCTCAGTTGTAATTCATGCCATAACTCCGTGGATTTACAAGGAAAAGTGAGGGAAGGCTGTGCATGGCAGTAAAGGAATTTGGGTCTCTAAAAGGCCATTTTACTTGAAAAGGATAGCCCATGGAGGAAGGCCAACTCTGCTCTTGGCTTCAATAACCTATGCTAATGAATGCCATGAAAGAACCACACCTTTGACAAAATACTTTGTGGCAAATTGATACTGTGGGCTGAAAAGAACCGTGGCCCCTACCTAAACAGATTCTTCACTTTCTCAGGTTTACAGCCCAACTGCTCAGGTCGATGACTCAGTGTTGAGGAAGGCAACATTTTGGAACAAGAGGTAACATAGATGTGAATTCTACCTGCACTGCCCAGCACGGTCATCACTTGCCACAGGTGGCTATTTAAATTTAAATTGATTTTAAATCTTTGCCACGTAATTTGATAGGAATTATGTACTACTATAATTTTAATGATTTTGTGACTATTTTAAAATTTTACTTTATATGAATGAAGCTGAACATCTTTTCATCTGATTATTGTTTATAGCCCTTGCCACGTTCCTGTTTTGACTATGGTCTTTTAACTTTTTATTTGCTGGAATACTTTATTTAGTAGAGCCATTTGATTATACATTTGACTGTCATGTAAATTAAATGTCATCACAAGAAGATAATAAATTTGAAAAATAAATATTAATTAAATAACTATGAAATTCAGTGTCTCAAGTGCACTAGGCACATTCCCGGTGCTCAGAGCGAACATGGAGATGATAGTGTGGATAAAGAACATTCCTGTCGTAACAGAAGCTTCTATTGGACAGCAGTACAGAGTCGAGGTTTAACATATCAGGGAATTTAATTCTTGAAGAGGCAGAGACGATGACTGAGTTCTTATAGGATGTATTTTTACTTGTTTTATTTGCCATTTAATTTCTTTTATTTTAATTGCAGCAAAATTATTTAATTGCACCTGACATAAGTATGACCACACTAACCACATTTCAGTGAACAGTTCAGGGACGTTCAGTATATTCAGATTATCAGGCAACCATCACCACTATCTGTCTCCAGAACTCTTTTCATCTTGCAAGACCGGAACTCTGCACCCATTAATAGTAGCCTCCATTGCTCCCTCTCCTGGGCTCCTGGGCCACCATTCCACATTCTGTGTCCATGGTTTAGACTACTCTAGGTACTGCATAAGAATGAAATCATGCAAGATTTGTCCTACTCTAATTGATTTGTTTCAGTTAACAAAATGTCCTCAAAGTTCATCCACGTTTTAGCATGTGCCAGAATTGTGTGCTTTTTAAAGACTGAGTAACACTCCACTGCAGGTATATACTGCATTTGCTTGCCCATTCTTCTGTCAGTGGACACTTGGGTTGTTTCCAGCCCTTGGCTGTTGTGAACAATGCTGCTATGAACATGGTTATACAAACATCTCAAGTTTTTGATTTTTATTATTTTGGATAAATACCCAGAAATGGAGTTGCTGGATCACATGGTAGCTGTAATTTTATTTTTCTGAGGACTCACCATTCTGTTTTCCACGACAGCTGCACCATTTTACATCCCTACCACTAGTGCACAAGGGTTCTAATTTTCCACACCATCACCAACACTTGCTAGTATCCTCTTTTGTTTTGTTTGTAAATAGTGGCCATTGTAATGCATCTGAGAGTTTTTACTGCCTCTCTGTGCTCCAGTCAAACCTCACAGCTTTCTGAGGGAAGAATCTGGAGTTATAAATCTTCTTCGCAACTAGCAAAGGTCATTTCAGAGAGCTGTAAATAGCATGGAAAGCCTCGGCAAGCACTTTGGTGAAGTCAGGATGCCGAGAGAGGAGGAAGACATGAAACAGTGGCATTAAAGGAATGCCTCAGTTTTTTCATCTTCAGACCTCGCTTCCTCTGTCAGGCTAAATACAGACTAGAACTCCCTCGGGACTATCAAATAGCTTGTTATTGGCCTAACAAACCACAGGCCCACACAGAGTTTCCCAAGAGCAGACAGAAAAAGCACAAATAATTTGGTCAGCATTAACTGGGGAAGCATTTTCCCAACCTGAAGGTTTGTTACATGTTCCAAAATAAAAAACAAAGGACATTAAAAGTGGACAAGATCTGAGTTTGTTCACTAGCTTTTTCTGGTCACTCTAATGTAGTGGCTTCTAGAAATAAATGACAGGGACGAAGGCTGAAACAACTTCCATCCACCTCTGGAAAATGCTACCCCGGTGCAGAATCTTGACAATCATGAAGAAAGGTCTCTGAGACCGATGCGCTCATCACTCCAGCAACGGGGTAGATGCTTGCATGGGTGGGAAACGCCCCCAGAATCCTCAGAAGCCCGAAAGGGCACTCGCAGTGTAGGCTCCTGCTTCTTTCTCCTTGTGATGATGACAGGCCAAGGCCTTGTGCAGGGTCACAGAGCAGCTGGTGACATGGCAGAGGGACTGAGACTTCTGTGTTCATGGAGCATAGAGGACTTATTTCCAACCAACAGCTTGTCCACACCTCCCCCTTGATGTAGAAAAAGTCCCTTCAGACATTCTTTTCCATTATTACTCCGGAGACACACACTTCACATAATACAGCAAGAGCACTGCAGGAAAAATGTCACTGCTTTTGTTGTTTTGTTGTTACCTTTTTTCTTTTAATTAACATCACATAGATGAAATGCCAGCAGGTGTCAGTAGAGCCCCAGCGTTCTGACAGGAAGTTTTGCCAGGAGTGAATCAGGTGCCTGTCAACTTCTGTGACCATTTCTGTGTGAGTTTAATATGCTTCTTGAATTGCTGACAATAAGCTTGTATGGCAATCTGGTACTTAATTTCCCAGGCGCATATCATCTGCAAGCCTCTGAGCACATACTGGTTCAACGGCACTGTGTTCCCGAGATGATTCCTGCCGCACTGGGCACCTTCCTTCCTGTCAGGCTGTCCTTGGTGGACTCCTGGGTGACTGGGAACCAGACCAGTGGAGGGACTCAGTGTAGACATCCGGATTGGCCTACTGTCCCCACTTCCCAGGCAGGTTACAATTGTTACTGTTCTCTCTTTTTAAATGTTTTCTAACTTCCTAAATTAATTTTCGCCTTACCAAGCCCTTCTCTAAAGATCCTTCAAGGAAGGACCAAAGTCGTGGTGCAGTGGGTTAAGCTGTCAGCAACCTTAGCTGTCAGTATAACTTACGAACACTGGTTTGAGTCTCAGCTGATCCACTTCCAATCAAGCTCCCTGCTAATGCATCTGGGAAGGCAGGAGAAGATGGCCCAAGTGCTTGGGTCCCTGCCACCCATGTGGGAGACCAAGAAGGAGTTCCGGGCTTCTGGCTTCAGCATGGCCAACCTTGGCCATTAGCAGATGGAATTTCTCTGTCTCTCTCTCTCTGTCTCTCTCTTCTGTCTCCTCCTTCACCTTCCACTCTGAAACCCTGCCTTTCAAATAAAAATAAGTAAATCTTTAAGAAAAAAATCCTTCCAGGAGTTCTGCTTGTATGGATCACTTAGGTGGAGGAAACTGAAAGTTGTCTTTAATTCACTCCTGGAGATTTATTTATTTAGAGACAGACAGTGAACTCTCATCCTCTGGTTCACTCTCCAAGTGCCTGCGCCAGGCCAATGCCAGCAGCCTAGAATTCAAACTGGGTCTCCCATGTGGAGAACCAACTGCTTGAGCCATCAACTGTTGCATCCCAGGGTGTGTATTAGCAGGAAGCTGGAATCAGGAGTAGAGTTAGGACAGGAACCAAGCACTCTGCTATGGCCGTGTGTCCAGTCTTATCCTGGGAACTTCTGACCCCTCTTCTGAGAATCCTTAAACTTAATGTCACCATGTAGGCAGTGCCAAGCTGTCTGTGCCTTCCCCTTTGTGGGGAGCAACCCGGACTAGACTAAGTTACTCGAATTAAGACTTATTCTATGCACCTGCTCTCCCACAATATGGCGCTGGGAGAGGAGAAAACAGCTTCTACCCAGCTGCCTCCAGTTCAACCAATAAACAGTAGGACTTGCTCCTGATTGGAGGAGAGCAGCGTACTCGGCGTGTGGGCAGCCGAGTTGGGATTGGCGGAGGAGGACTATAAAGGAGGAGAGAGACGGCATGCACCAGGAACATCTATGGGGAACATCTAGCTGAAGGAACACCTGTGCAGCCCCCGAGTAGAGCCGGCTGGCGGTGTGCCGCTCCCCTGCGGAAGTGGGGAATGTGGCCAGGGGGAACTGCCCTTCCACGGAGGTGGAAGGGATAGTAGCCAACCCGGGAAGAACCAGCAGCAAACCCGGGGAGGGCCGAGCAGATGAGAGAACAGCGCAGGGTCCTGTGTCTTTCCTCCACGAAGAGGGGGAGCGACACCCTTAACAGAACTGTCACAGACAAAATCATCGCTATCCCATGAAAAAAAGGTAGAGAGACTTAAATGTAAC